GTCTAATTCTGTCAGCAAGGGAGAGTTTATTATTCACTTGAATAAGACAGAAGGTAATATAAACTGTTTTGTTTTGTTTTCTGAAAATTCAGTCTCATACTTACAGAGATATTTCTCAGGATATTTTCATATGACGTGTCTCCTCTACAGGGAGAAGTAAGAGTTAAACTTTATACTAAAATCTTACTTTTATGAGGGAATCTTTCAATGGATTTAAAAAAAATACTGAAAAACAGTGTTAATTCAACCCACACAGTCTATCATTGGTATCCTGTGCTACTGCCTATGCTCTGTGTAGTCATTTGCACTTCTGTCAGGTGGAAAATGCTGCGTAGAGGGGCCAGTTCATTGCTACAGCCAGTGGATGGAAAAAGAAAAATCCCATTGCAAAGTATAACTCAGTGTGAAAATAAACTGTATAGTGAACAAATTATAAGAGCTGATATTTTTCCCTATGGACAGTTTACTTCTGATCCTAACTTTCACACGCTTTGAGCTATTAGATCTGAATTGAGCAATGATCCAAGTTGAATTGCTTTTGGTTTGTAAAAAAATTCTTGGCCAAACAAAATTTGTAGTCCATCAGTTCTCCTCAGTTAACTAAGAGTAGAAGTGAAAGCAGACAGAGAATTAAAATTCAAAACTCTTGACTAAGAGATAACTGCAACATATGATAGGGCAAAAGATGAGGTTTAGGGGGAAAATTATGACAGTAGAGAGAAGTAGAGAAATACACGGAGCCAGAGAAAAAATATGTATATAAGCACAGATTTTGGAGGTAAGTGCAGAAGGACATTGGACATAAAAAGTGGGAAAAAGGAAGTGTGAATGTATGGGAAGAGGATATACAGAAAGTTTCCTTCTCTAAACTAGTGGTCAACATTATAGCTCTGTGGTTTCAGCTGTTCACAAATGGTTTGTGAAAGCCACTTCCAGATGGCATTATCTCAGTGTCCACGGGTGTATTCTCTAATTCAAGTGCATGTGCCAAGGCTCTAAAAACACAAAATCATTTGATAGGTCAAGGTGGGCTATTAATTTTGTTCCACAGGGTATGGGTTTTGTGTACGTACGTCTATATTAGTCATGTAAGTCACACTGGTCTCTAATTAATCACATACTGGTTCCCTTAGCCCTTTAGTTTCATATGATTCAGGACAGTAAAAGAAAGAGTTCTACAGGAATGTTAATTCTTCATAGAAATTAAAAGGCAGAAATGTGGAATAGGCAGCAGACTCACAGAAGAAAGGGAATGGTCCCTTGGCTAGGAAAAACTGGCAGCCATGAAAACAGGATTCTATCTCCCCCTTCATTCATAAGTTCTTATTAAAGATGAAGATATTTTTGTGATCATACTTTTCCACTGGCCACTAAGTACTCATTTTTTGATTTTCTACAGTGGACCAGACTGGCAGACTGCTCTCCCAGCTGGAGTTTAAAGTCACTGGTAGTATGCTTTGGACATATAAAATGCTGTACAAATACTAAGTAGTTAAGGAAAATCAGAACTCTTGTTTCTCAGATTGGGAACTCAAAATCCATGGAAACTTGCCATTTTTGCTCATTATCTCTGTGTCTAAATTTGTCCTTACAAAATGGGCATGATAGGAGGGAAAATTCTGCTTCTCCATTAGCGTTTGTGGTCAAGTAACATTCATGAAAGCTCTAAAACGCTCTAGAGGAATTTATTAATTTTTCTTTTTAGTATATTGTTCCGGTGTCATATTAAATTCTTAGCTACTCATTTATTAAGTGAAGCATAAGTCCTTTAGAAAAAAATAATATGATTATGAAATGAAAACTACTTCTCCAGGATATTCTCATGAAGGTAACAAATGAGGTGCTGTGTGAAGCTTTCAGTGTAAGAAATGTGGAAAATAAGTGTTTGGTTTCCGTGCATTTGGAGGGTGTTTATTTTATGTTTTTTAGCATATTCAAGAGGGGAGCAAAAGTGAAAGTTTTTTCACTCTACGGAGTATATTTCCTGTGATCTAGGTTGATAATAAAATATTTGACAGGCAAGTTCTGTGCATTTAGAGTTCTTGACCAAGAAAATATACCTATATTTATTCCCATTAAAATTAATAAACTATCTCGCATTGCTTGCAGAAATGCTTGTGGCATGTATTGAAATAAGTATTCAGTATCCACAGTTCAGAACTGCTCTGGGCCAATGGGATTGCAAAATATCTGTCAGCTTTGGCTGACAGCCTAGAGTTGCCACAGCAATTTTTCTCTTTAATGAGTAAAATAGGTGGTGTTTGTAGAAAAATAACTGTCTCATGAGAAGCTGTGCAAAAAGTTCCATTCAAAACCATTCTGTTTATATATAGTTTTGTTGTTTGTTTTCTTTCCTTTTTACTTACTACTGTGGACATTTACATGAAAACAGGATATTTCTCCTTCAAATTACAGTCATGGATAGAACAGCCACTATGCCAAAATGAAAGATATTTTCCTCTTCAAATCTGTTTCTTCTGCATATGTAAAGTGTACAGTACTTATTTTGCTACCTCCAGTTAGGGACTTTTTTTTCCTTCATTAGTTTTATAAAATTAGCAAAACAATATGGATGTAATGACATGAGAGTATGTTAGTGAATATGTAAAAAGATGAAATGAGTTAAAAAATCAGTAAAATAAATAACATCTACATTTCTGTATTTGCAGTGACAATTGAGATAAAAGTATTTTTACCATGTGTTCTGACATTTTTTAAAAATAGCTTAGACATAATTGCAACCGTTCAGGAGAAGAATAAATAAAAGAGCTGAGTCCTGTTTTGGCTGATGGTGATCAATAAAATTAGTGAAGTCAGGCTTCTCCTAAGAATGTCTGTTCTTTTTGATGGACAAATCTGCCCTTCCCAGTCTTAGGTTGAATGTAATACCCTACTGCTTTGAGAAGTGCATTAGACTACCTTTAGTGACAAATACCACATTTCTTCCAGTCTCTTTGAGTTCAGCAATGTTTTATAATGCCACTAAAGTTATATTTTAGGGATGCAGTGCTGAAAGAGAGTGCTTTAGCACCCATATGTGATTTCATAACATAACAGCTTAGCCTTTGGCTCCAAGTCCATCTGGACATAGTTGATACTCAGAGAAAGCTCTCAACTGCCCAGATAGTTCTGTGCCATTTACTTCTCCAGCAGGAATGGATAGGAGAGTGGGTACAGCATACTACCAGATCCTCAGCCACTGTAGCCCTCATCCTAGAAATAATGAAGGCGGGAATATGAATCATGGAGTCTTCTGGCTGGAGGGCTGCTTCATCCAGAGCCAACCTCTACCTTGTAGAGGCTCACTTGCCCTGAACAAGGATACCGGTGGCTTATGGCTCAGCTGCTTTTCTTGTTTCTCTTCTCTTCAGTGTAGGGCTGTTCTCTAAAAACTGACATGTATCTCTGCAAAATCCTTTGCACAAAGCTGTCATCTGCTTGTACAACTGCTGAATTTATGCTAATTGCACTAATAATTAAATATTTCTCTCTCTGGTTAAAAAATGGAACAGCAAGATTTCAAGGCAGATGAGTGTAGTCCTCTGACTATACAGATTTGGAGAGAAGTTAGATTACACAGGCTCCAGCTTGTACTGCTCAGATAATGTTTCCAACTTTAGGAGTGAAATGTTCCCAGGGGTAATTGAAAATCTTTAAGATAATCTTCTTTTTTTTTTTTCCCTCAAATAAGTCTCCAGCATTTCTTACATAGTCAGCCTGTATTTGACTTTGAAAATCCAATTAATTACTAATCTCTTTACCTTCTAGGAGCCACATGATACATGACAATACTTCTGGATAATGTTACTAGGAATTCTCCTTTCAGATGTATACTTTTTTTTTTTTTTTTTGCCACATTAGTTCCCAGAGTCAGGGTCTGATTGCTAAGGCTGAATACCATATGAATGTGACTCATCAGGAACCAAGCAGTGGAAAGAAATATTGAGGGGACTTTGGAGAAGTTTGTTGTGTTTATTCCTGTTTTAGGGTTGATTCCTACTTAACTGGACAGCAACTTGTTGAGCTGTTTTTAGTTTAGTCTGGTGCTTGATGCATGATTGCGGCCTAATGAAATGTTTGGAAAGTAATTTGGCACAAATGAGCTGCTTAGTTACTTCAATAATCAATTGGTAGGATTCTGCTCCCACCTAGATTGCTCTGTTCTACTTTGGCAAACCTACAGATTTCAACAGCAGGCGGCTCATCATCATAATGTCATAAAATACATTACAAGGTAACTGTAAAAAGGGCCAGAAATGCAGTCCTGAAGACCAGCAGGGCCTGAAAGTCTCATGAAGGAGCACAGCAGGTGAACAAAGGTGCATGAGGAAGAGGATGAGAATATTTTAGAGCCTGACTGCCACAAACTTCTCAGTGGAGCTGAGTCAGCATGGGAAGAGCTCAGTTGTGTGGTGTTGATTCAGAGGCCTGTGGCTCACTGCTCCCCTTTTGGGTGATATGGAAAGCACTTGCCGGAACTGCTGATGACTAACCTTGGACACTGCAGAATGCTGCTGCTGTGGCTCGTCGGCCCATCTCTTGTGCTACTGCATTCCAGGGACATTCCACTGGGAACAATGACAGGGCATGAAGTTGCAAAATAGCAGCAGTCAGCATCTGTCCAACTGCCAAAAGATAGAAAGGATACCAGTCATTTTCTCTGAAGTTTCAATTAAAGTATTCATTTGCATTTGAGAATTCAAAAATGTTTTTGCTTCGCTGGTGTTAGCACAATGTGCCAATACATATAGCAGATATACGTTGCTTGTACAAATGATTATTCAGCAGTATGGCTCCTGTTCCTTTTGTGTGGGAATTCTTATGTAAAATAGTATTTTCCTCCAGCATTTCGCACACCAAATATGAGGCTTTCTTTTGCCTTTCTTTTCCCCATATTTCTTCATGTTTTTCTGTATAGAAATGTACTTAGTCATAGTGTTGACAATTAATTTCCTGTTAAATTATCTTTCTACCTGACCTCCTTCTGTTTTCATTGCCAGCTCATGGATGCTACAACTGTAGGACTGTGCTAACTGACCCGTCTGGAGTTTTCACTTCTCCATGCTATCCAAGTGATTATCCCAACAGCCAAGCTTGTAAATGGATCATCCGAGCACCTCTTGGATTCATTATACAGCTAACATTCAGTGATTTTGACATTGAAGAAGCACCAGGCTGCATTTATGACTCACTGACATTGGACAATGGAGAGAGCCCAATGAACCTTTGTGGCATCACTGCCAAGGGATTATCATATAATTCTACTGGAAATGAAATGATTGTGTCTTTTAAAAGTGACTTCAGTATCCAAAAGAAAGGTTTTAATGCCAGCTATGTACGAAGTAAGTAAACACAAACCATTTTATCCCTTTTACTGAAAAAATATCCTACTAGAAGTAAATTTCGTACAGGTTATTAGAATTACACTTTACAAAGGAATCGTGCTCCTTGAGAGGGACAGGTAATGGGGAAGCTGAAGGACAATTCTGCAGACTTGTGTGTGTTTTTTTTAACTAATTTGCTTTTCTGCAGATGAAAGTAAATTATTTTATTCTAGGACATGTCATCTCTCTAATGCATTAGAAAGACTTTTATTGCACAAAGATTGTGGCCTAGCAGTGCCTCTTTCAGACAATTCATGTTGGGCACTTTAAAAGTGAGACATACATACAGAAATATGAAGACCAGAATGAGCAGGTTCTTAGCCAAAAGAAACAAGGAGAGCCAAAACCACTGGTGTGGTGAATCACCCTACGATGGGGAAAAGTTCGTGCAAAATACAGAACTTCCTCAAGGTTTTTTCCAGTCTGTAACATAAACTCTCAGGGATGAACTGTCATTGCAAAACTGCTACCTGTATTCCTTGACCTTTTTTTCTTTTCTTAAATACATAGCAATGCTTAGATTTTAAAAATCCTAGCAACTGCAAAAAAGACACTTTTCTATCCATACTTTTCTCCTCAGTGAAGATGACAAATGTGACTGATGTTTATTTTGCCATGTTAACGTACTGCAAGAAGTTGTTCTTAACATAACAGTAAAGGACAGCAACATAAATGAGGACATTAGGATTATCATTTGCTTCTTTTAATTTAAAACCATTGTCCTTGTGCCATGTTACTACAAGCCCTGATAAAAAGTCTCTTCATCTTTCTTATAAGTCCCATTTATATATTCAAAGGCTGCAATGAGTTCTCCCTGAAACTTTCTCTTCTTCAGAAGGCCAGCTCCCTCATCTGGGAGGGAGGGAGGATAGGTACTGCAGCCTCTGATCATCTCTGTGGCCCTACTTTGGCCCCACTCCAACTGCTCCTCACCTTTCTTGTGCTGAAGACCCCAGGCTTGGATGCAGTACTCCAGATGGGGCCTCACAGGGACAGAGTAGAGAGGTACAATCACCTTGCTCTTTCTGCTGACCACCCCTCTTTGGATGCATTCATTTGGATCCAGGTTGACCTGGGCTATCCTGCTGGTTTATCATAGAATCATTGAATGGCTTAGGTTTGAAGGGACCTTAAAGATCATCAAGTTCTACCCTCCTACTGTGGGCAGGACTGCCACCCACCAGCTCAGGCTGCCCAGAGCCCCATCCAGTCTGGCCTCAAACACATCCAGGTATAGAGCACCCATGACTTCAATGGGCATTCTGTTCTTGTGCCACACTGCCTTCTTAGTAAATAATTTTTTCCTAAAATCTAACCTGAATTTCCCCTTTTAGTTCAAAGCCATTCCCCCTTTTTCTATCACTGTTAGATCAGGTACATGCAGCTTTTCATCCACCAGTGTCCTCATGTCTTTCTCCACAGGGTTGTTCTCAATCAATGCATTGCTTAGTTTGTATCCCTTGTACTGGGGACTGCCCAACTGTAGCACACTTATGTTCAATCAGCTGGTGATGAAGAAACACAGATCAAGGAAATTTTCAGCTATCTCTTAAGTCACAAGCATTTTTCATTAAAAGAAATATCAAAATACTTATTACACATATAATATTTTAAAATAATCTCCAGAATTGTAAGACAAAATTAGTTTCTCTATTTCAAGGAGTTGTAAAATCAAGTGGATCATATAAAATGATATGTAATGAGATTATGCGACATGATTTATTGTGTTATTCCGCTTTAGTATTCTAGTGCTCAATCTTAACAAATAAAATGACTTTTATTGGGAATTTAAGATGCATTATCTTCAGATGAGGACAAGAGGAGAGGACCATGGAGGCAAACATTTTTATATCCATATCTATAGGTATTTCTGTGAAAGCAAAAATATTACCTCCATGCCAAATTGAGCAGTGCCATATCTTCATGGATAGCACTCTTACAGTTAAATAGCCTTGGAAGATACCCTTTTATTTTGAATAAGAAGGCTACTCTCCATTGTGACTGAAGGTGTCAGTGACCTTCACCAGCAGCTTACATTTAAACGTTTCACATATGTGTTAGTTGATGTACCACTGTTAAGGCCTGCTGTTAAGCTACCTTGACAAAGGTTCCTGAATTTAGTTTCCTTACTCCAAACTGGTAACTCTTAACTTGAATTTGACTGCAGATGTTCTGAAGGAGAGCTGGCTGCATGCAAATGGGACAAATTATAACACATAGGCCATGTTCTACATGGCAACAGTTAGCCAGGCAGTGAATACAGAAAAAGGGTTTTGGTAAATGGGTGATAATGTACTGCTTTCCTTTCATAGAAAATAAGTTATAAAAGCCTGTAGACATTAGATCATCAACACACATGCACTGAAATTACAAAACATCTGCACAGCAGATGTCTGAGCAGTACTCTCCTGCTCTTGTAGAGAATTCCCAGAGGCATGACAGCGATGCTACCTCCTCTCATTTCAGGTCACTGTTGGAGTTTCAAAGCCTCATTGTCTAACTGACAGTGTTACTATTGCGAACATGATACCCAGGCAAATTGTGAATTTCTCCCAGAGAGGTTACTATGTTATAGTTATGTAGCCATGTTTTCCTTTCATGTCTTAGAAATGAACCTGTAAAAATAATAAAATTGTTTATTCATTTTGAGTTTGATAAAGGAATGTAAAGGTACAAAGATACACAACAGTTTGCTATCTAGAAATTGCACTTAAAATAAAACAAATAGTGCATCTTTATATAATATGCACGCACAGCAAAATACAGGTGGGGAAAGACAAATAGGTTGAGTTTGGGGGGGGAATTAGCTGTGAATAAAACAGCATTTGTGGAACAGTATTTTCAAAATGAGTTTCACAGAACACATCCTGCTATCCATAACAAGCTGGCTGCCCACACAAATGCTGATTTTCCTGGTTGTTGCCTTCTGCAACACACCGAAAGCAGATAGATGAGCTGTATACTTAGCAGCAGTAAATGAGTGTAGCTATATGGTATGTGGTGTGTAGACACTGGCAAAACTCAAAAAAGCTGGTATGTTTCTTCCAGAATCAGTTGAAGGACAGTTGACAGCTGTGAAGCTAGAAAATGGCAGAAAAGCAGTTTTCCCTACAAATGATTGTAAAATAGTTATTTTTGCTTGTATGTAAAGGGAAGTATGTGAGACCATGATCTGAAAGCAAGTAAGGTAGGAGCTCTAAAAAGAAGCAGAAGCATGTCTTGTCATGACAACACTTCTGTAAATGCAGATGAGGATTTCAGAACAGTGAGCTATCTGTTGCTGGTTGCTCTGCTGCACTTCAGCTGCCAAGACTTATTTAGATTTTATACAAGTAAAAAGCAATGTGTCCAATATAAAAACTGTTATATTCGTAGCAGAAACAGTTTAGCATCACCCTCAATGTAGTATAAATTCTTACATGAACAGAGCAATAATATATATATTCTTCCTCAGAGAATAATCATCTTTTTCAATGCTAATGTCTGAAATTCATCAGTGTGATGGCTGGCTGTTCAAAAGTGATTGAGAGAGAGCTCATAATGTTGATGTCAGGATTCTTTTTTCTCCACATGTACAGAATACTTGTCAGAATGTTTTGTGCTTTTCTGTATGGGAAAGTGCCAACGATTGACTCTGGGAAGCACAGCAATGTTGAGTAGACTTGTTCACTACCAGAGCAGCAGCTTTCCTTCTTCCAGTTTATTTCTCTTACACTGTTTAAATGTGACCAGGTGGTCCATAACTCTCCCTACCACTCCAACATCAACTGAGTGGTGCTCATATGAATGAGCTTTTTTCTTTCTCAAGTCTTGAATCCTTATGCTTCTGGAACACTTTCCATGTTACGTAAAGAACTGTACAGTATAATTAACTCACGAAAAAAAGCCCTTATTTTCAGTGGAAAGTTGAACACGTTTTCTATCTATAAAATTGTTACAACATACTTTTGCCCTTGGGAAAGAAGAAAAATCTATGAAGTAAATCCAGTAACTGTAAAAGCCCAGGACTTCTCTCTTCAGTCCCATTCTCAGTTGCTGCTTTGGCACATAAGAGGCCAATGCTTTATGTTATTTTACTGTACTATATATATTGGTCAAATTCCATCCTTGTGTATACCTAGATATGGTAGTCTGGGGCTCAGATTCATTGCAAGCGGCTGGAAAAGAGAAAGTGTAATACAGTGAACGTGTAGGATCTTTATAGCTCATCTGTCTGTTCCAGAATGTGGCATAATAATCACTCTTCTCTTACATATTTTACCCTCTCAAATGGAAAATTTTTCTTTCACTCTGAGAAGGGAGCAGGTATAATAGTTATTGTATGTAACATGGCACCACTTAAAAATCCTAAGGAAGGCTAGGCATTTTATGTGGCAGTTATTCTTCAGGTCTAACAAAATCCAATTTCAGTTTCAGAATACTTAGAGTGTTAGAAAGATGTCAGACATTTCCTGGAGATGAGATCTGCCACAGTACAGCAATAAAGAGCCAGAAATAAAGAAGGACTACTGCTGTGTATCTGGTCTTGTTGACCTCAATTCCTTTGCATGACTGATAACGTGAAATTTCTTTCTGTGGAGAAATTCACTAGAAAAATGTTTTTGTGCCATAAGGATCCAATAAAACTGAGTATATTGGCACCTTATTTTGAAAAATAATTTTCTCCAAAGTAGACTCAGCAGAATTGTCATTAATACTCTCATGGAGAAAAATCATATGTCATTTAATACTGTTTTCACATTTGGTGACTGCTATTTTGCCAGTGCAAGTGAGAATGCTTAAAAAAATTAGAGACGAGGTACTTCTGCCCATGCCCTTACTGCAGGCCATTGCTTTAGAAGAGGCTAGCCACTTCTAGATACTTGCAAAATCTGGAACACAAGTATTTACAAAAGGTGAATAGCTTGGATACAAACTGGATACGTGATTACAATGCTGAATCTGAAGGTTGCTGAGGACAAAATGAGAAGATGCTTAATGTTTTGCAGAAACTCATTACCAGAATTCAGCAACAAAGGGTTTCAGTTTGCCAAGAAATATAGTGAAATTTTTCTTCTAATGCAGTATTGATATTTAAAAGAAGTAAAACCTGAACTTCATTGGTTTAATACAGTAATGCAGACAAGTAATCAAAATAATAGAATTTCAAAAATCATATTGTGTTTTCCAAATAACTGTTTTTCTCTATTGCCTACTACATCTTTCCTTGATGAATAAATGTTAATTTTTATCAAATGAGTGTAAACTAGCAGGTAATATTTCCTAATATTGCTCTTGGTACAACTTGGGGAGTTAACTGCAGATAGTGCAGCATTCTCCACCCTGCTGAAAAGGAACTCCACGTGTTTAAGGTTGAACACTCTGCCAAGCCAAATTCTCTACAGTGTGTGCTTTTGATATATTGCACTGATAAAAAAACACCACTAAACTGCTGCCAGTCTGCCTTTATTTTTGTATGAGAATACTTTCAATTTAATTATCTACTCTCTTTTCTAGTTGCCGTGTCTCTGAGGAATCAGAAGGTCATCATTCCCCAGGATCCCGATGCTGATGCTGTATCCGTGGCAGAAACAGTCTTGGTTCCAGAACTCAGCCAGTTCACGCTATGCTTTGAAGCAACCAAGAGCGGCAGTGATGACAATGACGACTGGAAGATTTTCTCTTACACTGATGCATCATCAAAAGAGTTTTTCGGCTTTGGGAAGACCACAAAAGGCCATTTTCTGTCCATCTCAGACACACAGTGCTTACTTGACAATGCATTGCCTCGAAATGTGGAGTTTTTCACGGGAACATTTGAACAGCTTTGTGTCGTAGGGGATAGTTTCTCGGGCACTATAGGTGTTTACGCCAAAAACATCTATCATAATACATACTGTCCAGATATGTTTGGCAAAGTTATCCCTGGAAATGGGAGGCTTGTGCTGGGCTCTAGCAGCAATGAAGTGAGCTCTCTAAATGGGGACGTTTACAACTTCCGCCTCTGGAATTTCACCATGAATGCTCAAACACTGGCCAACCTCAGCTGCGATGTGAAAGGAAACATTGTAGACTGGGAAAATGAATTCTGGAGTATTCCAACTTCAGCACTGAAGGCAGAAAACAATTTGAGTTGTGGTAAGTATGCCTTGCCAATCTTTTTTGCTTATTCTCCCCCCACACACTTCTGCATTGTGCTGAAAATATCTTATCCTAGCAAGAAAAATGAAAGTTCCTCTGAAAGAAAAACAGGTAGGACTTGTCTTTCTTCAACTTTAGTTCAACTCTTACTGTACACAGAGGCTTTGAAAGGGCATAAAGTTGATTCTCTATGGGAAAAGAAAAATCCCCTATGTGTTTTGAAATGCTACTTAAAATAATCTACAGATCAAAGTTCTTCCCCAGTAATTTGTTTACTGGCATTTTACTTCATGAAATGAGGATCACAGGAAAGTACCTGCAACCATCAGGTTAGCCAACCACAGTCTCCAGAGAGAAAAAAAGTGTGTTAACTAACCATTAAGTAAATGTTTTTATACCTAACTTTTGATGCTTTCATTAGCTAGAAGAAGAACCTGTTAGCTTTATGCTCTGAGCACAGACAGTAAAAACAATGGCAAAGCTCTAATGCATACAAGACAGATAAGTACAAAAATAAAATAAAATAAAAAATTAAATTAGTGGAAACAGATGGGAAGGAAGCATTTTAGATCAAAATCATTCATTCTTATCGTCCTGACAATGTATTTTCTGCCCTTCTTTAAACTGGCAGTTACTACAGTCTTCCAGTAGATTACATCAGAAGACAAATTTTTATACTTAGTCCTATTCTCCAACCTATTCTCATTCTGTGGCTCAAACACTTTATTCTTCTTCATGCCTCAGTCTAATTTTTATGTATGCATGTGTTATTACAGCTATGTGACAATTTTCTCCAGAATTTTTAACTAGAAAAAGGAAGAAGTATTGAAACTGAAAAAAATCCATGTCAGTTTGGAGCAATATATATATATACTTTTTTTTTTTTTTAAGGAAGGAAAAAAGTGCTTTGATTAGTCAAAGCATCAGAAAGCATCAGAGATATCTGGATGTTTTTAAAATGCATAGGGTAAAATTGGAACCATGGCCAGCGGTAGCTTACACATGAATGTAGAATGCTATTGAAAATCTACTGCTATGGAACTCCTTGCTCATGTTGTCTAAGACTCTCTATTGTAGCAAATATACATTTATTTAAAAAAAAAAAAAAATCAGAGTCAAGAATTCCAAATACTGGTTCTGAAGTATGAGAGGTCTCTTTATATCTAATGTCCTCTCCACCTTAGTACTTTTTAGTTTAAATATAGTTTAAATAGTATTACTGTCTCCTAACAGAGCACCTGTCAGCATTCTAGGAATCTGTAGCTTAAAACAGTACCTGACATAATTAAGACTTGCTAGTTTCTGTATCTATTAGCTCATGAGGGATTAAGGTGGCCAGTATATTGTATCTTACCTGCTTTAGTTTACTGAAACCGAAAGATGAAGTAGCTTGATTCACTGAGACAGCTCTCAGCATGCCACTAGAACAATGAAAAGACAATCTAAACACTGGTCATGGCTGATGAAGTTGTTCTGAACATAGAAGTTACTTTCCTGCCCATACAAACAGACAGAAAAGATCTGAAAGAAAGTAATTTCCCCCCAAATCTTACTTTTCTTAAACTGTTATCCATGAAGGCTACAACACTTTTACTAAACTACATACCAAGGTGACTGAAGATACTGCAGTCTTATGTGGTTTTGACTGATGTATGGATCTTGTCCCTTTTTCTAGTAACACAGTCCAGTGACATTAAGTGTCAAACCATAGCTGTGCTCATAGAAACAGTACAGTTATTTTCATTCCACGTCACAGCTTTATTTTAGGGGATGTCATTGTTCAGTGGTTTCCTTACAGAAGAATGTTATTTTAGAAAATGTGTATGAGCTTTCTCACATTTACAGAAGTGTAGACCCCATTTTCCATGTTTGCTTCAAGTGTGTTTCTATATAGTAATTGTTACCTCCTGTAAGTAAGCAGGGTGAAAATAGTAACCAGTCTTTTTCAAGGATATTAGATTTCCCACTACTATACAGCATTCCCTAGAACAAAGCATGTCCTAAAAGAAAACACTGGGTGCAGTGCAGTTTCAGAAACTGTTACTAATCTCAGAGATGGAATTGTTAGAATTTTCTTCCCTTCATCATCTTGAATAAAAGGCATCATTGTGAAACCAGCCGTTAACAGGAGGGTTGATGCGTCAGACTATCAGCCATGAATAAACCACTGACATTGGTGAGATTAACTGATTAGACTTCATTTAGCTGCAATGGAAGGATTTATGCAGAAAAGAGTTTCCTCCGAGCACCAGTAATGCTTTCCCAGGAACAGCTCGTAAGAGGGGAAAAAAAAAAAAAGAAAAAACCAGCCCCAGCATTTAGTGATGATCTCAACACATTTTGCCTGAACGGTGTTTAGATTTTTCAAGGGATACTATTTTCATCATTCTTCAGATAAAGCTTTTACAAGTAGGCTTACAGAAGATAAAAAAACCAACAAACTGTTCCCGATGATCTTTTCTTTAATTTACCTTCTCCTAGCTTATTGCTTAGACTAATGTTTTCACAGCTGTGCAATCATGGTGGGATGTTTCTGGAAGACTTGACAGAGTTCTGTTTTCATTGCTCTACCTTTGCAGAGTTTGCATTTAAAGGTATACGTACACAGCCTGGGTAGCCAAACTAATTTTAAAATAAATAGTTTATGTAGCGAGAGCAGTGACAGCATCAGTGCAGAGCTCAGTGTAGACAAAACCCAGAGTATTTAATCAACTTCTTGTAATGATTTTGGAGAATGTAGTGGCTACACTTAGAGCAGCATGTGATCTGTTCAGTTTAAGGCTAGTGTGGCTGTATGTTCACTTGTACCTGCGATTTCTGCATTGTGTACTTTACTTGAGTCCTTCATTCCCAAATAAAAGTTCTTGATTATGCTGTCAAATTTAACTAGTGGTGGGATCTGTCTTCATTAAGCAGCTGAAGGATAGGTGTTTAAGGCTGAGCTAAATACACTCAGTGATGTTTTTGAATTGAGGAGAGAAAAAGGCTGTTCTCAATGTCGGTTCAACTCAGGGTAGATGTCTCAGTTAAGTCAGAAGTTTTATGCTGTAGGACTGTTTCCCTCCACTCACTGTAAGGAAAATGTAAGCAGGTACAGAAGTCTGAATTTTACACGTTTGAAGTTGGTGAGATTTATCATACAAATTGTTTGTAGTGCAGGGCTATGTCTGCTGTTCACGTTACTGATAATGCTGCTTCATTTATTAAGGGAGCTAATGCCAAGTATCTGTTTGTAGCCAGACCATTATACTTCTTTGGTGATCACTGAGGGAAAGTCTCGTCTGGCCAGAGTTCAGCCTGATAAAAAATTTAAAAAGCTCATTTAGTATATTGACTAAACATATTTCTCTTTAAAGGAATATTCTTGTTCAAGAGTTCTTTCAAGTCTGCAGATTTTCTTCCATCTTTTGAGTCATTTTTCCCTGGTACAGAACCAAGAGTAGGTTACTCACAGCAGGTTTTGGTGTTGACTGTTTAATATTAGAAAATATATGTTGGGAAAAAATCTCATGCGAGATATATGATGTTCACTTAGAACATGCTTCTTGAAGTTGAAAGGAAATGAGCCATGGAATTCAATTTGTCTTAATGTTAATCTCTCAATCTATTAAGAAACCCCCCACAAAAAAATAAAATGAACACATGCATCTCTCTCCCCTCCCCCCCCCAAAAAAAAAAACAAAAAACAACCAACTAACCAAAAAACCCTACAGAAAACTACACAGCTTTAATCATTGTAGAAAATCACTTTTTAAATTTTGCCCTGTTTTCTGTAGGCAACAGATATTATGTAATCTGTGGCATATCATGACTTCTGCACTGAGGCCCCACACTTCGTCTGTTCTTCCATCACAGGAAATATTTTCTCAGCTATCTTTACAAGCTGGTGGGTGGTGGCTCTTTAATTTAATGGAAGGATACGGTGTTTTATGAGAGAACCTCACTGAGTCAATACAATTCTGAAGTGGTAAAATGAAAGCCAAAAGGGCAACACTCCCAGTAGGTTCAGATTATGCCATGCTGTATGGCTCCATTATTTTCAGCATAATGTGCAGAAGCAGCTGTATCTGCAGCTGACCCGCTGCAATACACAAAGTGTAATTAATGCAGTTTGACTTGCTCTTTCCTCCTGCCATTCTTACATTCCCTGTTTTTGTATCTAGATCTTTGGATTATGTTCATGCAGAGATGAATAATTCAGCAGAGATACAGACTTACAGCATTATCTTCTTATAAATCATGCATACCAGAATATTAATCATGCCCACACCCTGGGCACAGTAACAAGTTTAATCATCTTTTATCTGGCTGGTGTCTGCCACAGGCAGATTACTCAGAACTGTGTGGTGGGTAACCTGTGCTGCAAAACAGAGGATGGATGTGTCTCCAAGGCACACGTTTTGTTGCTTGTGAAGGTACCATAAATTCGACAGACATGCTGACCCCTCGGTGTAGAGCCATTTCAGAGTACACATAAGCTGCATTCATTTAATGGGCTGCTATTTAACTACAGCTGGGAAGAGTATGGGAAAGCTAGGGGAGGATATGTAAGTGACTGTGGCTTGCAAGTCAGTGAGGGTTCTATGGATCCCTCAGCAGCAGCAAAAGACGCAAATGCATGAGTTTTATAGGCAAATGGCATTACCAGTTTTGTCAGAGAGAAACTAGGAAGAGAACTGTGTTATTGCAATATACGTGTTGATTTTATGACCAGCAGACAAACCTGTCTAACTGTTTGACTTTCTTCTTTTAAAGGCTCATACCTAATTCCTTCTTCTGCAATTGAACCAACAAGTTGTGCAAACCTAGGAAGCCTTTGTCAAGGTAAGAAGATCAGGTTATTTTCACAGTTTCATCTTTTCTAAATTTTAATTTTCCTAGATTTTTTTTTTATTCTGTTTCTTCTTTTTTAATTTATTTATTTCTAAAAGACTGAACTGCAATGAGTAATTGCAAAGGAAGGACTTATTCAGTCACATCAAATTTGTGGATGTCCTGTATACAATGGGAGAAAATATTATTACTCCCTTGATACTGAGTTTTTCAAATGGTCATTATTATACCAAAACTGAATTAATTGACTGCTTTCATTCTCTCTCCACCTCTTTTTCTCTTGCATATTTTAACAGTAAAATGTAAAACAGGGTAAGGAATAGGTACATCTGTAAATAATAAAAAAAATTCTACATGAACAAAGTATCTGATTATTATTAAGGTTTTTCCAGTAGGTTATTTTGATGCTAAATACTTCGAGATTAGCAGGAAAAAAAAACTAGCCTCAGACTTCAAAATGCAGCAGCAAGTGTTAATGAAACACTAGTTACAACACTTAGTAATGATTTAATAGTGTCAAAATCACCACATATAAAAATTCATTAGGTCTCTTGGAGGATCAGCTCAGTTGAATGCAAGGAAGAGACTAATCGTAAAAATGTTCATGCTGTTTGAATTATTGCATATGCAGGTACAGTCAGTTCTCTCTACTTTTTAAAATTCTTTTCTTTAATGCTTAGAGGCTGAAGTTCAATAAAAATGACCTAATGAACAAGATCAGCCCATTTCCACAATACATTTCTAAACACAGGCCTGCAAGCGAAGTGATATGTGAGATTTTAAAAAATAATGTCAAGCTCTATAATCTTTTTCAAGCTGAGTGTTGAAAGATAGAAAAAGCAGAGAACATACAAAAGGGGGAAGAAGACTTGGAGCTTTTTCTATGCAAGTAAACCAGATTTAATTTAAAGGTAGAAAGGAAAATGCACTCCTTTTGGGAAGCCAGTAAGAGATCTGTGATAGTCTCAAGTGTACTTCTCCCAGATATTTCCAAGGTAGATTCTGCTCAGAGTCTTGGATCATATGGAGGTCCCCATAGGGAAAGTGAAATGCCATGCCAGTTGTGTCCATAATCAGTTTTCAAAGAGCAACATTCATGCATCTGTCTCTCAAAGCACAGTATCTTACAAAAAGTGGTACCCAAATATCTTATGTAAATGGGACAGCATCATTTATTCAGTGGTATTCTTTTTCTATCAGAAAGTTAATACAGGCACTGTATATATATGTTTCTCTTGAAAGAACTCTGAAAGACTTCTTCTACCAAAATGGCATGACATGAAAGGAGAGAGACTATCTTTCATTAGGTTGGCTAATTGAACTGCAGAAATAGACACACTTTCGGATAAAAACATTACATTTTCCTAAAAACTTAATAAAGCCTCAGCTTTATTAACGTGTTAGGCAGAAGATACTACTTCTAACAAAAGAGGTTCCCTTCCCAGCTTGCCTCCCTTACAATCTTAGACTTAGCAAACTTTATGAGTACTTTTCACCAGGGTAATACTTTCCTACTCTGAAAAGTGTTTGGTCAAGTGTCACTAGTATTCTCCATTTGCTACCTTGAAAGTGGCAAATTGGATTCATGCTGTTCATTATCATCATCATTGTCTTCATCACCATCATCACTGTCCTAATAATGAAAAATCATAAAAACATGTATGTCTGTGTATTTCTTTAAGTGCTGCAAGCTTGTTTTACGCTGAAAAGCTACTTTGGATTCCTTTTTGGTTTGTTTGTTCTATGTTGTGCAATATCACCAGACTGTGTTATATATGGTCTGATGACAAAGCTGTGTTCTTCATTATGCTTAGCAAATATTTTCATTCACTTTTAACAGCGTTGGATGAAAGATAAAATCACTAAGGAGCATTAAAAATTATTTTTCAGGCAATATAGCCCTGCAGTTACATGGAAGAAGAGCTTTTTTATATTATAGATTGTGACTTTATATGCTCACTTTTCCAGCTAGGATCCCTGTTTACTGCAGCCTTCCTTTTCTTTCCTCAAGTTTCTTGTTTCACTGAAACCTGAATATGAACCACTCCCTCAGCTGAGACCTGAGTTTATGACTTTCAGACTCAAAATGTTGACTGAAACAACCTAACAAAAATCAGAAATGCAATTTCTTACTTAAAATATGATGCCTAAACTTTTCAAGTTGGTTCTTTCTCAAACTCTGCAAAAGATATATAATACTGTGAGAGTATACTGCACGAATCTTCATGCTGTGGAAAGAGTTTTCAGGGAAAGAAGAAGTCTGTCAGTGAGAAGATCTACATTCCTGGGAACTATTAGAAAAATTATTTTCCAAACTATGTGAAAATTTAGTGGCCTGATCTTTGAAGTGCTTTTTTCCTCTAGAGTGTATACCCTCCCAGTCTTCAGTGAGGGAAAATTTCAGTTTTGGCTCCTTACTCTGAATGTGAAAAGTGTTTTAGCTAGTTCTCCTGGGAAACATTTTCCAGTATTGTGTGGGATGACTCCTGTTAGTGTCAGTGGGAACAGTACAGCTAAGATCCTACATGAAGCTTTCAAAATATATGTTCCACTCAAATTATTCCAAGTCTGATCTAAATACTCCTCATTATATAGAGTTGAATTGAGTTAATTGAAAACTTATACGGGTGTTTTATTTTCACATTTATTCATCATCTTCAGTCCCTGAGTAGAAACAACTATTCTTTTCACAAGTAATTATTCCAAGTACACTCATTGTTGAGCTGTAAGGTCTGTTTTCTGGTCTTTGCACAGCTGTTTGGATCTGATGCTCTCATAAGAGGATTTACAATTTGTGAAAACAGTACAGGACTTGCAACCCTCCCACTGGCAAAACTCCCACTGAAGTCAGTGAAAGTGAAGATTGCAGGACTAGGATCTCAGTTCATGTCCATTCATCACTTTGTACAGAAGAGAAAGTGTTTAACATATATGGCATTGTGTGTCAATGGTTTCAATTTACATTGTCATGCATTGTTCCCGTTTTGTCTTACCTCATTAACATTCATATTTCATTCAAGTTCACCTCTTTCTCATCTTTATTACCAGCTACTGTAAATGCTACTACTCCTACACCACCCACTGTCACCACTAACATGCCTGATACTAATAGAACCGATAAGCCAAACAATGGTAAGAAATCCTGTGTTACATTTTTCCTTGTACTGTTTCTAGAGAAAATTTATTGTATTTTAAGATGTGTTTTTTTCATACTGTAAGGTCAAGGGTCGTGTCTCAGTGCTATTTCATTTACTCTGAATTAAACTGGAGTAGTTTCATTAGATTTGCCCTTGTAAGAGTGGTGTAAGTGAGAACAGAACCAAACTCAGTGTTTATTTGTATCATGTTTACTGTGTTCCTTTGTGCCACCCATTGAATTTACCCAGGCAAAGAATAAGGGATGGGAGAATTATTTTTAAAAAGGAACTGTAAAAAATTCTACTTTTGAAATGCTTTAATGCTGTGGATAATCAGACATTGAGTGGCTAATGCTGCCAGGGTGGTAGTATGCCGGGACTCTCTATTCCTCACTGGTAACACAGGGGAGCCAAGTGGAATCATTCCTATGGAGCAAAGCCACTTCCACTGAGTCAATAGGAATCTTTCCACTGACTTCAAGAGCTGGATCAGACTCTACTAGGGAAAATGTTGACAGTATCAGATATCATTTACTTTTCATTTAGAAAGATTAAGGGAAAAAATAAGATAGTAAATGATTCTATTATTAGTACAGGAAAAAAAGGATTTCTTTTGAGGTTTTCTCAAGTCGATGATATCACTGTCTCCTAGAGACTGAACATCGTTTTCTGAGGAGCTTCTAAAGTTATTCCGCAAAGAAAGTTATTGAACATTAATAAGAACATAGAAATAGTCTTCTACAGTTTTCATATGAGGCTCATATTTATTTTTTTTTACTAAAGATCTTTTGTACTCCCCAGAAGTAAATCAGTATCTGGTTTTGGCTGGGGGGTGGGGGGGATGGAAAGGAATTGCTTTTTTGTTTGCTTGTTGGTTTTTTTTTGTTTTTTTTTTTTTTTCCCAAATGTATCAGTTGTTACTGTAGGATTTAGCATTCTTGGAGTGCTTTTTGTCTTGGCAAATCACTTCTTGTATATTGGCAATCAGGCAGTATAATAGACACTGTGAAAGAATTTATCTGAACTCATTCTGTTTGGATTTAGTAAGCAGTTGAAGTAAAAAGAAAATCTTGAAACTTACTTACAAACTGTGCTTTTTTCTTTTTTTCTTTTGTGAAGCTACTCACTCCATGTTCACCATGAACATTCAACTTTGATTTTCCTAGATACAGAAGGATCTGAACACCCTGATAATGTTAGTGTGACTAAAAACTAGACAAGTTACCCTTTATTTGATTTTGAAACTACCAAGAGAAAGCAGAAAAACTGAGAAAAGTAGGCCAAATTCATTTTCAGTAAAAGCAAGTTAAGCTTTCACTCAGCTAACTGGTATAATTTCTGATGGTAAGTTGGTTTATTGCCCTAGAACAGACAGCTGAGAACAGAAAGTTAAGTTTCACATATTTTCTTTAATCCACTAACTATGTGGCTTACTACACAGACCTGCAGGAAATCAGACTTCCTGCTACAGTTATCTTCAGAATGAAGAGAAATTCACCTGAATCCTTCCATTCACGACCAAAAAGGCAGCAAGAGTCTAGGATAGAAGGGGTCAAAACCATAGGAATTATCTCAACCCCAATTATTTGGCCAGTGAAACAAAGGCCTCCCCGTTTCAGTGAAAGTTCAGCAGATGAGAATCTGGAGAGAAAAAACACATACAGCTTATTTCATTCAACTGTGTCCACATCATCTGCCTCTGAGGAGACTAGCATTGGTACCTTGGCTGCTTTTACAGAAAATATTGACCTAGATAACACTGTGATGAATCAGTTACCAAATGAAAATATTCTGAACGATTCTAGAATTTCATCTGATGGCACTTACAATGCAGCAGATGATGTTGCAGATCATTCTGTGGATGCAGCATTTCCTCTTCAAAACGGAAGTCTTACTGCAAAGGAAGCACAGACTCTGGCAGATGGGCTGCGTTATGCTTACTCTGAGTCAGCATTCCATCTTCCCATTAGCAGAAGCACTGCTTATGAACACAGAGAAGTCCCGTGGATTTCATCGTTCAATAACGACACACTCAATTTCATGCATACAAATGATGTCTTGAAGCCTGAAAGTTGGACTGAGACTGTATTTCATCATCATATCACCTCTGACATTAAAGAAGAGAAATATCATTCTCTTTCTAGCTTAGCGATATCACCTATGAAGGAGAAGCCATTGTTGCAGAAAAGTAGACTGGATTTGCTTAATTTTGAGCCTCAGAATGCTTACCCAGAAGTGATAGAAGGCAACGCTAATAGGAAATATTTTTCCATGTTAACAGCAAACAGTGAATTTCCATTTACATCTGTGTACATTAAGGAGCATTACTCAGGAGGCTTTACAAGATTAACCTCTGTGAACCCAACAACTTCTTCTAACAACATGAAAAAAACATATACAGAAATTATGCCTGACAGCCAGCTGACAAGTTCTGTGACAGTGTACAGTAGAGAACAACTTATGTCAGCACTTCTGGTAGGAACAAGCTGGACTAACTCAGCATTTAAGCATGTCGTAGCAACACTGCCTACTTATCAGCAATCACGGATGGATGTGTCTTTGGAAACTGACAGCATATCTATGTCTAATACTGATTACTGGTCTACTTATTTAAAACATTCTGCATATATTCAAAAGAAGCCAAGCGAGACCCTCAGAAAGATGGTACTTGAGAACAACTTAGATGCATTCCATAGTAAAAGTGAAGAGTCAGGTTTTTCTATATTAGAACCTGAGAATATTAAAAGAGTTGGCATCTCCTGGAAGCCAGGTTACTTAGATTTTCCAACAAAATATTTAGATATTTCCCCTTCTTTGACATCAAATTTCTGGACTGTTTCCTATCATTTGAAAGTGTTTTCTGGAGTGCCAGCAAAAAATCAGTTAGTCTCTTTTAATGAATTGCTCTCTAACCCAACAAAAAGGTTGCCAATCATTAGCTCACCTACTGAGTCAGACAGTGTCTCTGAACAAACTTCTACAATTAGGTTGTTAGATCACAGAGCTGAAGAAACGAACTTCTCTAGCCATGCCACAGCTTCAGAAAGGCAAATCTTCAGTTTATTTAATCCAGGCCTTTCAAGGAGAACTTTAGAAAGCAATGACAAGACAATATCACAGTTGCAGTCAACAGTGAACTTTGCAAATCTAAATGTATCTTCCAGCAATGAGTTATATTTTGATGTTCTTTTCCCTTCTCTGGAAGCACCTGTACGTCACCACTCTGTACAGATAAGTCCCTTTGACAAGACGCTTGCAAACTCTATGGAAAAATTAATGTTTTATCATAGTTTACGTATGCAAGGTGGAACTGATGTAATAAGAAATAGAACCGATGTGACAGTCCAAAACAACAGGCAGCAGGTTGCTTCTGTCCTTATAACACATTCAGGAATCCAGCCTTCGTGTTCAAAGGACAGCAAAACTGTTTGCTCGGTCAATACACCTGTTAATAGTTTGGTAAACAGTGCAAGAACACGTGGATTATGGCAGTTTGAAAGTGTTTTGGAGAATGATACTATAACAAATACTGGTGGTAATGCAAGAAGTGAAGTTCAAACAAATGCAGGGTTTTTTATAAAAAATAACAGTTCAGTGAGTTCTGACTTATTCATAACGACATTGTCTTTGGAATTGAAGCAGCCTCTTCATTCAGACTCAAAATTCAGAATCACTGTACCTCCCAACAGCTACTCTACACCTCCACTCCCACAGAGTCTTCAGAACCATCTTGATATAATTTCTCCAAGCCTGACCCCTGCGTGGGATTTAGAAGAATTAAGTTTGTCTGCAACAGAAATAGCAAGAAGTCTTATAACAGTCTTAGATGGAAAAAACTCCATCGAAAGTCAAGAGGACAGTATTAGATACTCTCCAAGGGCAGGAGATCAAGAAATCATTAGTGATAATAATGAAAAAAATAATCCTGCTGTTCTGACATCAACTAACAAATCGAGGCTTTCAGATCAGAATTTGGAAGGAGAGGTATATGGATCTTTCAGCAAGCACAGAGAAGGAATTTCTTCTCTGAATGTTTTTAGCACTTCTGTCTTAGATTTTGAATATATTGATTATGAATACTTCTCTTCCCTTCTGATATCAAGAACTTCAATAATTAATGATGTGATACCTTTGCCATCTTCATACAGTGGAATAACTCTTCAGCACAAAGAGAACCACTCCCTAATGACACCTGGAGCAGCAATCCATGACTCTCACATGCATTCCCAAATGCAAATTTCACCTGTAATGTACCATCAGTCATCAGTTTTATCATATGTTCATTCCTTAACTAATTTATCATCTGAGACAAGCCACAATACCACCCTTTACCCACCATTGAATCAACTTACTAGCTGTCCCACAGTCCTTTTATCTTGTACCTTCACTGAGTTGGGCTGCCTGTGCCAACAAGAGATCAACTACAGTATGTCAAGTTATGAAGTTAGATGTAGAAAAAAAAAACAGATCATCTTATCTATTATTCAGTTGGTAGATTGAATGTAGAAGTAGCTGAATTTCATTCTTTAGTTATAGATTTATTTAACATATAAAATATTTTAAAATAGTATTTTAATTACAGTAGAAGGGAATTTGTAACATTTTGTTGGTAGTAAATGTCATTAACATGTAATTTCTAATTTTTGTGTCCTTCTCTATATCAACTCTCATGAGACTGTGGGAATTGAAATTAGAGATTGAGTTGTTATGTATTTTATGCATTTTTATGCCACTTCACTATTTGAATTATTATGAATGTTTTTCAGTTACAATACTTATTTATTTTTGACTATTTAATTTCCTGAAGAAAATATTTATAGAAGAAACTAACAGAAATGAAACCTGTGGTATTTCATTGATCATTCCATTGTTTGTAGTTGGGGTTGGGTGTGGGTGAACTATTTTTCCAGCTTTTTTTTCTCCTTTTTTCTAGATTATCTTTGGCTAGTTTTCATCAATTTTCTGCCCATAAAAATATTTTTTTTTTATTTAGTATTTTGAGATGGGATTTCCACTGTTTAATTTGGAGTGAAAAATTATTCTTAATTTTCACTATCTGTGACTGCAGTCTCCTGAGAGTGTTTTAAAATGTAGATTAGTTCTTTGTACTTGTTCTTCTTTTGCTTCATTAAAACATTCTTTTATTCACCAACTGGTGTAGATCTTGAAGCTGTTGACTATTGTTTGTAGATACTAAGTTTGATTTTAAAAGTACTTTGCATATTCCTATATTAAGTTGATTTTGTCCAAATTTAGAGTTATTCAAATGAGACTATATTTATATATAAGATATGTGTGAATTTATAAGAATATACATAATGCACATTTTCTATTTATGTGTATCTATACAGCACAGGTAGGAGATACATTATACATATAAAATAAAATATATGTATATACAAAAATATATACATATAAATGAGATTCTGTCTTAATTTGAAGTGTTTTCAATTTGCCAAAGGTCCAAAATCAAGACTTATTTTTTTCTTTTTTTAATTGAAACTGTCACAGTAGTAATAACAATGGACACAGCATTTTCTAATTGAAGTACACTCTAAATTTGAATGTTTGCTGATTTAAGGGAGGAAAAAAATAGGCAATCAATTGAAAAACAAGCAAATTCATATCGCTTACCAAAAAGGTAACTGGCAAACCATCTTCCTGTATGAAAGTTATTAGTTGCCACTTTATCTCAGGGAATTTTCATACTTATCTTGCTGAAAATATGATCAGTCTCATTATGAAGAGACAGAGCAATACCCAAGGTAGCTCATGAATGGAAAGGAATAGCAACCAACATGTACAATTAAATTGGAAAACTGTAACTGTAAGATAATTCAGATAATTTTATTTTAAGCTCTTGTAAAGTGATTATCTATGAAGCTGTAAAATGATGAAATTTCCTCCATACGTATAAAACTAGAATAAATGGTCATTTGTTTAATATTCTGACATAGAATAAGCATTTGCTTTCCAGCCAAGAGATAATAAGAGATTATTTCACTGTAATTGTCTTCGGGTCCTGGTCTGTCCTGTGTAGTGCCTCTGTAATAGTTGCATAAGATTTCTCTAAAAACGTGTGTCTGTGATAAAGAGCCACAACCTCATTTGGTAATAGCCTTAAATAGTAATACTCAATAATGCCACATGGGCACATGCATTTGACTGAATTGACACAGAAGTTCTCAACCCCCCACATACGTCTTGGGCTAATTTCTGCATCAAGAGCGGATAGAATTTTTAGTAGCTTAATAATAGTTTTGTTATCATATGTAAAGTAAAAGTGATTAACACAGAGCAAAACCATAAGCAGATGTAATGTTTATTCGATTAGATTTTTATGATAAAATGTTGTCTACCAGCTCATGAGCTTAAAGAGAATTTATAATCACCTGGTGTCAGTTCAAAACAACTTTAATGAATATGAGACTTTTCTAAGCCAAACATTGCACATATTTAGGTTGAAAGATGGTTTGTTCAGCTGCCAGTTTTAATAAAGCTAACACGAGTTTCTTCTTCTGTCTGGCCATTACCAGACCTAAGAGCAAAGGATGTGCTGAGAAAATAAGAAATGGAGTGCTTCTCTCTCCTAATTCTGTTCCCAATCATCTTGTGACTTTTAATTGATGAGCTTTGTCTGCTCTCATAATTTTTTTGGTCAAATCTGTAGTGGTTGTTTCTGGATTATAACAATATGACTGAACACAGAAATTTTCCATGTTACAGATTTCAGTAATTCTGTTTATTTTAAAATTCCTGATGCTTCCATGATCTTGCTGCAATAAAGGCATATGCAGAATACTATTTACAAATGCATTAGTTCTGAGTTTCCATGTCATATTTCAAGTGTCTCTATAAATATGGAGAATGAGGGAATTCCTTTTGAAATTGATAGGACTAGTGAGAATGGTAACAAGCAAGCCTGCAGGGCTTGCTCACTCCAGACTCTTACAATATCAATAAGAGCTTGAGGAATCTTTGCACATGGGATTCAGCCCAATCTTCATATTCATCATGACACTAGAGTCTCATACTACTGAAAAAGCAAATTTTCTCACTTTCTAATATATTATTGCTGTTTTTACCGGACAGGTGGGCTATTCTACAGGATATCTATAACTGTCTTTAGTTACAACTCCAACTCAGAATCAAAAGTACATGATGTGGTTGCAGAATGGGTAAGTGAAGTTTTCTTTCTTACTTTATTCAGTAATTAATTTGGGTGTAGTTTGGGAGTTCAAAACTATGGATAAAATTTTGAATAGTTTCCACTATACCAGCCAGCATCTTAAGGACAGGAGATCTTAGCTGAGATATTGGAAAGTATGTGGAAATCAAAGTTGTCCACAGAACAATGTAGATTTATAAGTTCCTATGTCGGTACACAAATTCTGTCTTCAAATACTAATGTGGTTTTGAAGTTACATTGTGACAGAATAATAGAATCATGGAATAATAGAATGATCTGAGTTGAAAGGGACCTTTAAGATCATCTAGTTCCAACCCCCCTGTTATAGGCAGGGACACCTCCCACTAGACCAGGTTGCTAAAAGCCCCACCCAGCCTGTTCTTGAATGCCTTCAGGATCAGGGCATCTACAGCCTCTCCAAGCAACTTGTTCCAGCTTCTCACCATCCTCACAGTACAGAATTTCTCTCTAATAATAATAATCTAAATCTACTCTCTTCTAGTTTAAAGCCATTTTCCTTTGTCTTGTTCCTACAAGCCCTTATAAAAAGCCCCCGCCCCCCAGCTTTTCTGTAGGCCTCCTTCAAGTACTGGAAGAGCCTTCTCTTCTCTAGGCTGAAAAACATACAACCTGTCCCCAGAGTGCTCTTCTGGCCAAAAAAAACAGTGACATTCTGGGGTACATTAAAAAGAGCGTGGCCAGCAGATCGGGGGAGGTAATCCTCCCCCTCTACTCTGCCCTGGTAAGGCCTCATCTGGAGTACTGTGTCCAGTTCTGGGCTCCCCAGTACAAAAAAGACAGGGATCTCTTGGAAAGAGTCCAGCGGAGGGCCACAAAGATGGTGAAGGGCCTGCAGCATCTCCCCTATGAAGAAAGGCTAAGTGATCTGGGTCTGTTTAGCCTTGAGAAGAGAAGACTGAGAGGGGACCTGATCCAGGTCTATAAATATCTAAGGTGTGGGGGGCAGAGAGGCGAGGCCAGACTTCAGCAGTGTGCGGAGACAGGACAAGGGGAAACAGCCAGAAACTGCAGCGTGGGAAGTTCCGCACCAATGTGCGCAAGAACTTCTTTACGGTGAGGTGACGGAGCACTGGAACAGGCTGCCCAGAGAGGTTGTGGAGTCTCCTTCTCTGGAGATATTCAAGACCCACCTGGACACCTACCTGTGTGACCTGGTGTAGGGAACCTGCTTTGGCAGGGGGTTGCACTCGATGATCTCTGGAGGTCCCTTCCAACTCCTACGATTCTGTGATTCTGTGATTCTGTGAATCCTTGAGTCCTCTGATCAGTCCTCTGATCCAACCTGTCCCTTGAGTCATCTGATCATGTTCATGGCCCTCCTCTGGACCTGCTCCAGCAGCTTGATGTCCTTTCTCTGCTGGGAGCCCCAGAGCTGGATGCAGTACTCTGCGTAGAGTCTCATGAGAGCAGAGTAGAGGGGCAGAATTACTTCCCTTGACCACTGGCCACTCTTCTCTTGATGCAGCCCAAGATACAGTTGGCCTTCTAGGTTGCAAGCATACACTGCTGGATCATGTTGAGCCTTTCATCAACCGACATGACCAAATACTTCTCCTTGGGGCTACTCTCAAGCCATTCTCCACCCAGCCTGTATCTGTGCTCAGGTTTGCCCAAACCCAGGTGCAGAACCTTGATAGACATAACAATAAACATGCAGTGTTCATTTGTGTGATGCAGTAAACTTTTCCAATTCACTACAGTATTGTCTGCTTTAGATGTTTTCTCCCATGGGTCAGCTTTGGGATTTCTAGTAGTTTTAGATATTCAACCCATTTTAGCAGAATAAGCTCCTCATCGGGCCCTCCAAATGAAGGATTATTGAAGTTCCTACATCTGAAAATTTATTGTCTGAATAGAGATATTCTCTGTTCTTTTTTGACAATTCACATAATGGCACACATTCTGCAAACTGTCTACCAACTATTCACATGAAAGTGTGATGTCATAAATATATGGTATTTATTATTTATTTTTCTTTAATAAACCTGGAGGATTTCAGCTTTCAGAAGCTAGAGAAGAGAAACCATCTATAATCCTCAATAAACTACAGATGCAGTCACCCAGACCAGCTAAGTTCTCTTAGCAGCAGTAGCCAAGTGAAGTATGTTGATGCCTTAGCCAGAGAAGCTATAAAGGTGTCACTTGACTCTGGCAGAACACGCAAGCAGTCCTCCAGAGGGGAAAACTGAGCAACCATTGCCAACTGTGAATAAGCTGTAGAAAAGTCTGAAATAGAGGTTATCGTAAGGCAGTAGATTTTTATTTTAGGTGAATACTGACCCTGCATTTTTTCAGTAAATCTTTTCTAATTACAGTGTTTCTGAGAATTTAAGATGATGGAGAGGGAGTAAAGTTCCGCATCCTGTGCACTCACCTATTCACTGTCTTGACCTCACAGAGATGTCCTTCTCTCAGTGAAAGAAACGAATACATTTTTCACTACCAATTGTACATACAATTTAACAATCACCTCACTGTGATGGGAGTGTGTTCTCTTTGCTTTGAAAAATTGAAGGGAATTTCTTGGGGGAAAGAAAGGTGGAGTTCTGTTTTAAATGACAGAATGATCTATTAATGTGCCATTTCTCTGATCAATGCTTTCCTGTTTTTCAGCTAAACCATACTTTCCAGAACTGGAATTATACTGTATATGTGGTCAATATCAGGTAAATGAAGGGAGAAGATGTTTATGCCACATTCCTTTTAGAGGATAACCCACTCTAATTAATGTTTATTTTCTTCATAGCATCCAACCTGGTACCATAAAAGAGGCAGTAAGAGAAAAAAGAAGCATCGATAGTAAACGGTAATGACTTTATAGAACTTTTATTGACAGAATCAACAGCTGGTAATACAAGTAGTATGACTTTATTGCTTATTATTAGCTATTATTGTTGCTAGTCTGTAAATATATAACTGCTGGAGACCTGAGTGCTCTGGGTGTGCTCACAAATCTCATACTGGTTATCATGTTTGTTTAGATTTAAAACCACTGATCTTCTTTGAACTCTAACAGGATCATTTTTCAGAGTTCAGGTTTCATCTACCAGAAAACTGAATACCATCGTAGATGTATTTGTGGTAGGGCAGGATGCACTTTCTTCAGCAGCAAGTACACTGGTACACTGGCATCTGGTCCACTGGCATCGCATTTATTTGAACTAGAGCCTTTTGAGTTAATACACATCTTACTAGATGCAAAACACTGAAAAATCATGCTAGAGTTGAAAGCCAAACTAGTATGCGTTAAACTATTTACCATATGCTCTCATTTCCTGACTTCTGCTGGTCTCTGAGGCACTAGCATTGGGATGGCCTCAAAGGCAGCCAGTTAGATCGGTCACACCTCCTGAAAACTGGGCCTCAGGGGATTTCTTTGAAAGCAGCACACTGATTTCTGAGGGACAGATGGGCAGGGCAGACTCTTAGCACCAAATTAAAGAGAGGAAACCAAAACATAATTAGTCTTGGGAGGGAGGGGGAAGACGTGTGTATGGGACATATCATTTTGCAGCATAGGCAAAAGTCCTGCATAATCTTCAGCTGCTAACTCTAGAGAACTGCAGTGGTAAATTTGAGCTTTTTAAGTTCAGAGATAGTCCAGTATTTCCAGTTTACCATCAGAAAGTAGTTACCAGTGCTTAAAGTTTTCTGTAGGATTTACCTAGACTTTAAAGGATTTATAAATAGTACTATCTCCTTCCCACATACCCACAGCAGAAAGACAGTTCTTATTGGCAAAAAAAACATTTAGTTGGTATAGTGTAAACCTTGACTCTGAAAGGGCTATTCTGCTCCCAAACTACATTTATGGTAGGGTATAGTCATGTGGTTGTGGGTTTTTTTTCACACTTTCAAATGATACAGTTGTGCCAGCAAAACCTTTGAAGTTCAGACCATGTGTCAGGTCTCATGAACAATCCCAGGCTGCAGGAGAATGTAAAGCTTTTCCCAACCTTATTGCTGAGTGTTTTATGAGATTTGCAGTCCATACTGTCAGCATCTGTTCTTTTGCAGACTGAACATCTGGTTTCTTCTCATGGCACCATACCATCACTCAGTCCTTGGGATTTTGTTTCTTTTTCCTGATCTATTAAAAAAGCTTTTAAGAGGGAGAAATGACTCCAGCATATTCAAACACGAAAAATGTGTCAGTTCCCCACCTGACAGTGTATGTCTCTAGTACATATGTCTGTCTGCCTGTCAATATTTATGACAATATATGGTTCTGTGGCCACAAAGCAGAGCCATGGAGTTTACTGCATTGTCTTTAACAAGGTGTTTTCCATGATTGCCCTGCAGCACTTTGGTTACAGCACTAGACTACTTCTATATGTTATTATGTCACTGTTATGTGGGATAACCCTATTCCTATCTACTTTGCTAAACTTCTGTGAGCCATGACATGCCATAAATACATGTCATAATTCAGAGACAATTGTATTATGTGTTATTAATATGTCATAAAGTTTTTCAAGGATGGCCTGGGTTAATGAGAAAGCCATTTGCATTTATGAATATCCAAAAAGCAAATTCCTTTTTTTTTTTACTTCCTCCAGAACTTTGGTTTCATCATGCTTTGTTAAGTTTTCAACTTTCTGGAATTTGTCCTGGTTAAGATTCTTAGCAAAATCTACAACACATCAGAGTAACAATTTGGAGTATAATAAGTTAGCAGATTGCAGATTGAAAGTTTTTAATCCACAATGGAAGTAATATTTTTTTCTTACTGGTATCCTAAAACATCTATCTAGATCTACTGAAATGCTGAAGCTGAGTTCTTGCATGTAACTTATTCTGAGTGTAATTTCTGATTCTTTCTATGAAACATTCCTATAAATTATTTCTATAAATATTTGTCCAACATTTTTCTTATTTCTGCTAGAGTAAGAAAAAATTCCTCACATAAACTCCAGTGTTTCCCTTAATTTTGAAGTACTACTTACTCTATTTTCCATCATCTCCATCTGAATATAATTTCATTCCACAGTTAAAACTTTAGGCACAACCCAGAACTATTATGAACTTTATATTTTACAGAAGTAATCACACTAGTCCAACTCACTAAACTTTCTCTTCTCTGAATTTTGCACAAGACCATAGTTTTCATCCTTGTAGGGCACTAGCACAATTATTTAAACTGCTGTTGGAGAACTTTTCCCTCTTTACATTAATTCAAATTCTCATAATTCATATCTTTTCACCTTACCTTTTGGATTAGTATTTAATACACGTTATAAAACAGCAACTCAGCAGTAAACTTGCCCAGACTTTTCTATCAGTTTTTCATTGTTTCAAACCTGATTTGCTAAACTTGCTGTCTTATCAACAAACTGCTTTTATTAATCACCTCACCTAGTCTTCTTGCAAATGAAAGAGTAAGAATCATTAAAGATTCAGAGAATAAATACAAGCTGCTAGTGGGAGGTAGGAAGCTGGCTTTTTTTGGCAAGTTAAAAGTAGGTATTTTCCAAATAAATATTATAAACTGTACTGCATTCTGGAGAAGAGCAAAACAAAACAAAAATATGGAAATGGACTGTTGTTCTTTCATTGCTGAGTTCTATGAGCTGCAGACATTTGAAGGACAGTGCGCTTATTACATGTTATCGTGGATTTGGTGAGAGATAAATGGAGTGTCAAGTCCAAAAAAATGCACAGTATCATCAGCATGTTTAAAACCGTAAGGTCTTTATATGACAGCAGTGTATCACTCTAGCACTTTGGTAGATTATTAACTACGTTAATTGGCAAAATTTTGCCACATCTGTTCTTCTGTTTATGTCTTTGTTTTCTTCTCATCATACTGCTGCCATTTCTTAATGAGAGGGCAGCTCTTCAAAATAAAGCAGAAAGATATAGATGGGATATGAGCATAACTGTTTATCCCCTGTAACTTTACACAAACCTTTGAAAATGATGCCAATTTGTGTTTGTTATGTAAATAAATTATGAATGTGTTTGCTTCTCTCATTAATCCTTTGCCTTTTATGATACTGCATTGATGTCATACTCTTCTGTGGCTGCTGCTGCTTTTCTCAGATGGGTCCTGCTTATCCTAGGTGTAGTCAGCTGGCTAATAATTGGGCTACCTCAGCAGAATAACTGATATTTGCTAAGCATCTCAGCTCCCCTTCTTCTCCTTTCATTTTGCATTCAGTTTTGAGAACTGAGGCCCCAACACATTTATAAACTTTTCTCTATTTAATACGCAAATTATGTTTTCTGAAACTTCCACTCAGTTGTCATAACTTTGCCCTATTTCCCATTTTTATTTTCTGTGTGAAACAATGCTAATGTTAGTACTGTTAAACAACTCATCCAAATTAAAAACCGCAGTGCTTGCAATCTGTTTAAAGACCACTAAACTTAAAAAGAAATCTATTCTCTTAGAAATGAAAATAAAGAGGAAAGCAGGAAATGTGAGATGCCTGAGCATAGTCCTGCCTCTTTGAAGTCTGTGGGAGTTTTGCCACCAGTGTCAGTAACGCAGATTCAGGATCCCGCATGCTGTGTTCCTGGCTGCCATGTTGCTTAATGGAAAGTTGAACACACTTAGATAAAGTTTAAGCTAATTAGATTGTATAATAGTTTTAGACAAGTGTTTAGCAACATCAGAGCAACATAGTTTTGCTTTTATAGTCCTAAGGATCTTTACTGAGTAAAGTTAAATAAACAAAATATTAGGCTTTTGCATTCTTTATAATTATTCCAGATTATTTATTATGAAGTAATAATGCTATTCTAAATGAACACATCTGTGATGCCTATTCTTATTTTTAAGTCATCCTGTTTTCTACAGGTGAAGTTTTAGGAACAACTTGGAACTGGTCCACTCCTGCTTCCTTTGACTTTAACTTTGTAGTTACGATCTGAACCCACATGTTTCTGCACAGTGCCCTACTGGCACCTTTTGTCAGTGACCTGTAAAGTAAGCCTTCTTAACAGATAGAGGAATTCAAGAATTCCACCTGAGAGACTGAGGAATGATTCCTCCTTTGTATCCTGCTGAAAATGCTTTATTTTGATCTGGCTTCCACTGACTTCCACCATCTTTCCACAGACTTTAACTGGGTTTCTTACAGGCCTGACATCATCAGATGTCGTTTTTCAGGAAGGTACTGGGTTGCAATTTTCAGGGTAAATAGGGATTCCCTTTGTTGTTCTGGAAGATATTTCAAGCATAATCAAATACTCATTTCAGCCAAGACCAATTGCAGAACCAAGAAGTATTCCATCCCTCTCTCTTTGTCTTTCTGCTACATTCCCTTGTAAAGAGAGGTCTTCATACCAAATCTTCTCATATTTTAAATTCTGAACTTTTTAATGCTATCACCTCAAGTAAAGATTTGTTGACAATTAAGATGGTTTTGCAGAATACTTCTAACTTCCCTATACTGCACTGTAGTTTTTTGGTTGCAGAACTGAGCTCAGTATTCCTGAGAGGAAAGCTCTTTCAAATTCCATTATGGACTTCTTTAGCAGACTTCTCAAATTTCTTTCTCTCTCATTCTGCATGTTTTCTAGCATCTTGTTTGTATTACTAGCATCTACTGTTTGTATTACTGAGTCTTCACTGACTAGCCTATGCCAGTCAGCTTTCTTTTCTAGCTGTCTAGTTAATACTCAGGAGTTGGCAGTGTTTAGAAGCAGAGCCTACATGTGTGCTCCCAGTCTTGAATTATATCTACTCATCACTACTTATCTTCAAAGCCAGAATAACAGCAAGATTTGTAAGGAATTTTGATATCTTATTTTTTTTTTCTGAAATATGATTGGGTATTTGAGAAAAAATCCACTTTCAGTGGTAGTTCAGATTTACTGAGTACTGAAGTGCTTTAAAAATTATTTTTTTTTTACACTTTAAATCAAAGAGCATTAACAGCAAAACGAATTAGTAGTGCTTTGTTTGAACGGTTTGAGAGCCACAGTTATTTCATACAGTCTGTTGAACCTAAATGAGAGAATAAACACGCGCTGCTGATTACCAGCAGGTACACCACTGCCTGTGCTGTGCGGCTCACATGGTTAGTCACTAATCCTCACTCTGGGTTCCTTGCACCATGCAGCAGTGAGAGCTCAGCCCATGTGTAGGCACACTGTCCTGGAACAGCTCTGAGTCATGCTGCCCGAGAAGAAAGCTGCCTTTGTATCCAGCACCGCGGCAGCATGAGTCCCATCCTTGCCATCCCCATGACCCAGTGCAGCTTGCTGTGCCTGCAGCCTCCTCTCTGCTGAGCTCAGCAGGCCAGGGCAAAGAGGGACATACAGTGATCTTCCTGGCTCTCCTGCTTGCTCCAGCTGACACCCAAAGACAAGAGAAGCAGAAAAAAAGGAACCTCATTCTGTTTACCCACACCACAGCCCACTTTTTTTTATCTTGACAGCAGTAATGCTACAAATTACTGTGGGTGATGTAATTTCTAATAGATTGCTGTTGCAAGAATCTATCTGCATTTATATGGCACTCAATAAAGAACATAAGGTTGGCTGTGTAAAATCCCACGGTATCAGCACAGCATGGCACTATTGTATGTATTGCCATTTATTTGAGTTTGGATCTGTTGTTCCACAAACTGAGGATTTTCTTCTTCTCTATTAAAATGTTTTCTTTCTGGGCTTCAAGTGTGATAAAAGTGGACAGAAGCACTCGGCTTCAAATTGCATCAGCTGTCAAGTTAGTAGGTATTTACTTACTTTGGGAAGATAGCATGAGTCATTCTGAAAAGTTTATAGAATTTGTTTTCATCATAATATGGAACAGGCTCTTAATACACAGTATACTTGACTTGTGCTCTACAAGTTTCTCAGAAGACAAATAACAAAATGGTCTAAGATTATTTTTATCTGTGTTTCATAATCAATGCTTTTCCCTGTAATCATTCAAGACAACTGTAGCCAATCCTACCTCATCTATCATTATTCCTATAACTGTTCAAGATAATTCTAACCAACTTTACCCAATCTATAATTATCCATTCTGCAGTTACAGATACTAAATATCATTTTGTTTTGCTGGGAGTACTGCAATAAGCAGCAGAGTAGTAGCAGTGACTCTTCACTTACTACTTCTGCTTTGCAGCCAAGTGCTGAGGTAGGGAGTGGCATCAGTAATATTAAGTTTTCCTCTACTGAAGTAAAGGGAATACATGAGTGAAGCCAGAATCTTTTAGGAAAGATGGATAAGTTCCAGGAGACTGTAGGACTGAAGCATTGGAGGGCTCTAAGTATTGGCAATCCTGTAGGCAATTTCCATGCTCTGCTAAAAATAAATGCCATTATAAACAGGTGCCTCGTAATATATCTGACATATACAGCAAAAGTCTGCACATTCACCGTGCTGAGTCTATAGCCATGTGTTAACCACTCTGTCAAGTCCAAAGGAATGTTAGGAGGAACTTCATATATCTGGGAGCAGGACAAGTGTGGCCTGGCTAGAAATAGCTGGAATTTTTCTGCTAAAACACATCCCTAAGAAAAACAAACAAACAAACAAACAAAAAAAAAAAAAAAAGAAAGAAAACAAGCCTAGCCAGCAGGTAACCTGTACCACATTTTTATCTTTATTCTTCAGCAATGTGTTAAAACTGCAGATATAAGGAAGAAAAAAAGAGTACAGATGCTCAAAAGAAAACAAAGCACACAACCAGTAACATATCTAATTCTTTACTGATGGGTCAAACCCGCAATTGTGAAATGTGTGGAGTATTTCACTCATATTCGTGACTTTTGAAGGCTTTATGAAGCTTGGTCTTTGCTTTTTTTACTTTTTTTCCCCTAGAAGGAGAAGTTTTTTTATTTCTAATGCCAGTTTTTTTAATACCATTTCAATAATGAGAATTTTTCAGAAGTATCTGTTGGAGGTAAGCAGTTTTCAACATGAGTTCTGACAGAAAGATAGTTAAGTCTGTCATCACACAGCAACATTCGTACAGTAAGCTGTAGTTTTGAACTGTACCACACTAGAACCTCCAGAAAGCACAGTTCTGGGATGTCATTTGGAGGCAGATTTTTGGCATCAGTCTATCTAAGCGGGGGTTCCAGAAATCTCTCCCAGCCCACTCCTGTACAGCACCCCTGCAGATTTTGTCTCCTATTCTTCAAGAAGCATTCCAGATCCAGCAGCTCACTGCTACTTCCTGGCTTTGGGGCCCCCCAGTGAAAGACGCTTTGTTTGGTGCATGCACTGCTCACTGTATGTGTGCTGGCAGTGCTGCCACTTCCCAGGCTGCCAGGAACTGCTCACACACCAGGAAGGTCTGTCTTTATTCAAGATTCTGGGTATACAAGGGCAAGGCTAAGATGAAGGCAGCCCAAAGCAGGCTGGCTTTTTCCTTTTTTCCACATTTCTGCTCCCATGGAGATCCAATGTTCCACGCTTCAGTGGCGTCATCTCCCACTAACCATAGCCAAGCAATGCTCTTGGGTACCAACATATTCTCTTCTCCAACATGGGTTTTCTGTGTCCCAGGAGGAAATTTTTCAGCCTTCCACTCTCAACTTCTTTCCTGTGTCCTGCTAGAACTTCTTTCTCATTCATTATTTTCTTTCCAGAAAAGCTATGTTTTTGGACAAGGGTGGAGACTGTTTTATTTCTCTCACAGGAAAGAGACTTGGGCACTTTGAACTACTTCTTAAGCCCAAGAAAGTAGCAGTGGGCTGGAGTACAAAACAGCTATTACTGCTCAAACTTGAATTACTCATCTGAGCAACTAGATTTTCCTAATTAGAACTAAAATACACTTCATAGAAGTGTATGAGGGTGTTTTTCACTCCATCAAGATTTGAGCATCTGAAAGTTAGGCATCTATTCTTTGTTAGTCTTCTAGTCTTTTTCAGTAGTCAGTGGAGAGAAAGGCCCTCCAGAGGATGACTTGTTCCAGCCTGACAAGTTCTGTAAAGCTTTTAAGCTTTATGGCTTTTAAGTTCCTGAGCCATTAGCAACCAGATTTTTGGATTTAATTAGGACCCGTTTAGAAATGGGCATTGGGCACTCACTGTGGAGAATATTTTTTGCTTTCATCTTTTAAAATATCTTGCAGTAATCTAAATCTTCTCAAAATATTTACTGGCTCTATTAATGAGCTGCTTCTTTAATGGTAACTACAGGATGAAATTTCCCAACCATACATTCTTTTCCTGTTGCTGTATGATTTACAAGTAACAAACAATATTGTCTTGGTGACGCTGTTACTTACTGAGAAAACTGGAGTTTGTCAAATATTTTTATTTCCACATCTTTGGGATCTGCTGCTCTGACTCAAACATTTGGATAATTTTCCTTGCAGTTTTGAGGTTTTAGCCCTTCTGGTTTATAATGCTACCAACAACATCAATTTAGAAGAGCAAGACATCCGACAAAAGCTCATAAGTAATAACGAGTCCATAGCAGAGGGATATAGGCTTCATACAGTGGAAGTTGATCCAGTGGGTAAGTAGATTCAGCCTTATTACACAACTGATTTTATTTGACTGTCCAAAAATAAGCATCTCCTGTGTCAAGATAATCATACATTTCCAAACAGTATAGCTATTTCAGATTTTGAATTGTCCCTTTTAGCCTCATTGCTCCATTGATCTCAGAGAGACATCAAGATATCTCTTTTAAAACAAATATAGCTGTCAAGATTGCTTCAGTCAGTGTTTTGTTGTCTGGTTCAAAGAGGCTAGGACATTTCCTTTTGACAGCTTTGGTTGTTTGAAAATAAAGAAGTATGATATACAGCCAGAGATGCTATGAGACATTTTTGACCACTGAGGACCCTCATATCTTCTCCTCAGCCTGCTTTATGATTCTACCAACTGCTGTCCTTTATCAATCTTCTTCCAGCTATTGTGTATCCCCCAGATTTTTGCAGTCATCTTCTAGTACGAGATTGCTCTTCCTTTGGTAGGGAAAAGGGAGAGGCTGGTGGAATGCAAGTGGATGCAGTTTGCACATTCAGTGCTTTTCCTTCAGCATCAGTAGCAGTATGTTTTTTCCCTTGCTGTACACCCCTCCCTTATCACTAGTCTATAGAAAACATTCAAGCATTTCATCTGAAGAGAGCTACATGCTGCAGAATGGATAGTGAGCTAAGGGCAAAAATGGAACACAGATGAAGAAATTTGTAATTAACACTAATTGAGATGTTTTTATTTTTACAGAAAAATGTTTAGCTGAAGAAAACCCTCCAAACTATTTTTGGCCAGACACCAGACCAACAGTTACCAACTTTACATTTTGCCATGGGAGTTCAGTTCAGATTGCATCAAGAACCTGGTAGGTGGTCAAAGACCAGAGAAGCTGAGAGCTTCTCTTCTTTTCTTCATCCTCCACACCAGATGTCATTGAATGATACCAGATGTTGTTGCATGATATCACAGAAGGATGATTTCTATGCGGTGAGAGATCATGTGTGTGCAGTAGGAGTACATACTTCATTAATAAGATAAAAAAGCTTATCTATTACTACTGTAGGATGTATTGAGACCCGCAATTAATACATGATCAAAGAGAAAATAGCACCTTCTTACTGAACAAACATGCTTTCTTCAATTTGTGATATTTATGTTGCCAAAATCAAATATCTGCAACTACTTGACTACCTGTCTCAACTTGTGCAAGAAACTTTTTGACAAAAGTTTTGCAAAGATGAGTTGTATATTTATTTAATTTAATCCAGAATTTCTTATCCAGTTAAATGAAAGTAAAATAAATGCTTTGAAACAAGAACATCACTAGTAATTAGTCATATGTGAAGGTGGGGATAGTCTAATGCTCAAAGATTTGGACTTATGCTTTTAAGGTTGAGGATAATTTTTCCCTAATGTAGCCTTTCTTTGTGAACATCAACAAATTATTTAAACACTGTAACTCTATTTCCACTTTGTAAAAAGAGAATATTATGACTTCCTTTGATATATTACTAAAATAATATGGCTTTGATCTACTATGAGTGTCTTGAATGCAGTATTAATTAATCTCCTCAGTATTTAGGATGATCAACAATCATCCTACTGCAATACAGTAGTCTCATCCACCCACACTGCATCTGGAACATGTTCTGAGAAGACTAGATCTTTCACTTTTTATAAACAATATGTCAACATGAGTAGGAATCAGCTTTGAGGTTCTATGCCAAACAGGAAAACAACCAGCATTATTTTTAACTAACTCACTTCCTCAGCCTCCTAATCTTGTAAAAAAACAGCTAGATTCTGATTGAACAACTTTTGTTTTCAAGTAAGTAGTGCATGGGTCGGATTGTTTTTATGTCAGTCTCCAAATCATTAAAAATTAAGCTTCTGGCCTTTGCTGCCTCAGTATTCCTTATCTTTATTATTCATTTGTGGTATAAACAATACTGTTGGTTATCTGTCTGCCACACTTCTTCTAAAAAAAGTTACTGTGTTCTGTGTTGCACTGGGTTTTCTATGCCCACATTAGCTTTTACCTATACAGAACACAGGTGTGGTGTGTTTTATTCTGAGAGACAAAGGAATCTGTCCCCATGGTGTTTTCTAGATTTGTGCTTCCAAGAGTGCTATTATAATAAAGATGATCAACCAAGGAATATCTTTATTCAAGCACATACTGAGTGAAAAGCTAAATTTTTACCTTTCTCAATCCTGTCTTTGTTATACTATGGTATCATGGTTCTCCTGAAAGGAAATCTAGGAAAAAGTGTGTTTAATTTCAGAGCTATATCTGGGAATTTTGCTATGGTAAGGCTTTATAGGAAAGCATTTTGAAAAAACTTACAGTCTTTTAATGTCTGTCACTCATCTTAGACCTGTATCTGATGGTGACCTTCTGGTTTTCATAGGTGGTGTAGCATTCTATCTCTGCACAGCTCTTGTTCTTGTTCTTCTGAGAGTATTAATGCTAGCTATTGATCTGATCAAAGCCATTTATATCAAAGGAAAAATAAACAGCATCTGATAAGGCTATATTAGATAGGAACGTAATAGCTTTTGTCAACGTTTGGGTCTTTTCTGAAATACACATTTTCTGCTAATTAATTTTTCAAGTCAGTGTTGCAATCAGCAGTAAATATGTCCAAAGGAACTGGAGTTTCTCTCAACTCCTTAACTCTATAGATCACGTTTCCACCGTCTAGCGTACATTTAATTTCAGGGAGCTAGTATTGCAAAAAAGTTTGTGAATCAACAATATCGTATTATGATACATGCAAAACAATTATGAAACATCTAAATAATTACGCTATTGTATTTCATGTGCATTTTGTCATTTTTCCTCTTTAGCTATTTGGGTCTGCAGAATTACACCTCATATTGGGGCCAACCAGATCTTAGAAATTGCACAGGTAAGTGTATAGATACTGATTTTTGGCTAAAGTAACAGCTTTATGTATTTTGGTTTCTAACTACTATAAGGAAGAAAGTTACACTAAGGCAGAATGCATTCCTCATTTTTACTATTATTGTTCTGTTTTGTTTCGTTTTTTAAAAAGAAAAAGATACAGACAAAGCTCTAGGGAAGTGCACCAAATTGAATCCAACCCACCCATTCTGGATATCAGTTAATGAAATGAATCAAATTCTTCAGGTAATTTCAAGAATAGACGCAGGAGGTACCAGTCTGATACTCAAGTTTGTACAAATTTTTAAATATTTCTAATGCCCATACATACCAGGGTAAAGAATTCTACTCTTTTCACAGAGCTTATGATCAGACATTTTCAGATTTATTATCAGTTTGAAAAGTAACCCTTGATATCATTCTGGTGTTAAAGGAGTTAAAAAATAAACAGACAACTTTTTTTTTGCCCTCTGTTTTAGTGCCAGAGTTAGTGAAGAGCAGGATATTCTCAAAGGTAACTCAGAGCTACAGCAAGCTGTTCCTTCTGCATTGCTTTCCCATAGAAGACTTTTTATCTTACACCACTGATGGGGATTTCATATGGAGCCTGGCTACCTAATTTGGTGGATTGTGATGAGTACTTATAGTCGCATTATATGAAAACATTTTTTGTTCTGAAATGAACACTCAAAAGCTGCATTATAAAACTCAGCTTTAGAAACACCCAGTCACATGCAGACCGAAGAAGGCTGATCTTCTTTTGAAATCTTATTTGTGATTTTTCAGTAAATATAAAATATTTTGACATTGTAAAATTTAAGTATTTACAGTTTTCTACCCAGATGGCTCCAAGCATTATTTAACATGCAGTTTATACTAAAGCTTTGTCACTAGACAAAATGTCAACCTTTCCTTAGTAGGAAGATTCTTCTCATGAAATTTGCCTCTGTGTTGTATTGCCCAGCCCTGTCAGTAAGAGTGCACTCACACAAATGAATTGATAACACTCACAGTGGGGTCAGACTTTCTCCCCAGAGATGAAAAGTGAATATTTTGTCAGTAGTGGTGACTTTGGGACACATTGATTTCACTTCAAGGGGGACAAAGAAGCATGTATTGGGGTTTTTTTGTTGGTTTTTGTTTGTTTGGTTGGTTGTTGTTGTTTTGTTGTTGTTTTTACTTTTCCCATTTCTTTTCAAAAAGAGATGGTATCATAAAGAGAAGAAAAAAGAAAAAATGCTTTTATTTCTTACACCCCTTTCTATCAATCAGCCCTTTCAGTAGTTGCTCTGATTTACAAATTCAGATCAAAATAGTGTAAAGTAAGACACAACCAATGCAGACAGTATATAAGAATTAGCAGGTTATATATGCTTTGAATGAAAACATGAATGAGATAAAATAATACAATTTCATGTTTATTACAAGTACCACAGAACATGCTCTATCTTTTCAGTAATGAGGATAAAAATTTGTATTTCTGAATTACCTCAAGATTGGTACAGATTATTTACTATTTTTGCTTCAACAGAAAATGCAGCGGATATTGCCAATCAGCTTCTGAATCTCACTGGTGAAGGGCAGCAGCTTACCTCAGACAAAGTAAATGATGTCGTCCAGAAACTCAAAAAAATTGTGAATGATGAAGAAATTGATGAATCCCTAGGTTCTACTGTGGTGACAATTTTTTCCAATATTCTAAACAGTTCAGACAGTGTATTGGCAGCATCATCTTCAGAGTAAGTATTTCTGCATTTGCTTTTAATAAAATTTAGGAAATTGATTCATTCTTCCATATAAATACCATAAAAGAAAAAAAAAATTCTGATTTCTGTGAAACGAAATTCCAAATGAGTTAAGCAGCTATTTCTTTTTGTAATAAAAGTAATGTATGTGACAAAATATTTTAATGGAAAAAAAGACTTCTGATGAATGATACAGCATATATTCAGAAGTTGTCAGAAGATAATTTCAGGACCAGTGACATGTAAATCAGACAAATTCTAACTATCAAAACCTTCTACACATATATTTACAGCCTGAGAGTCTCCTTGTGGATACAAAACTGGGTGACAGAAACATAATAAGAGGATTGCCTTAAGGTGAAGGGAATACATGGAGAGCATATAGAATAGAATAAAATAATTTTATTTCTGTTTTCAGAGCTCTTAAAACTATTGATGCCTTGGCTTTAAAGATCCAATTCACAGGACCATCCATGAGTATTTCAACACGCAATCTTGCACTTGGAGTGTCTTCTGTAAACTCAACTTCATTCAGAGGTTCTTCTTTCAGTGTCAGTCCACAGAATAATGCATCTGATTTCCAGGTATGGCATGGGCAGTTGTGTTTGAGCATGAAATGTGACTGTTATTCCAAGTACGTTTACTATGTTTTTGTGAAACTGTTTACAACTCCCTATTTCCCCCCCTGCTTTCCATTTTCTTTTTCCTGTAATCATCCAAACAGGTTAACACAGCATTTACTTGAGTGGCAGGAATGCCAGATGGACCCCGATATGTTCCATACAGATGAAAAATTATTGCTTACAAATCCAGGAATAGATTTGATCTTTTTCTCCTTTTTTTTTTTAAAAAAAAAAAAAAAAAAAAAAACTAATGAAAAGGGAAAATCATCTTTATCAACCTATTGTGTTACCCATTATGTACTAACAACTTTATCAATGCATTTCAGGTTTAGCATGAGACAAGTAAATGTAGATATATATACACGTAGCTTTCTGCAGATCCAGTAGATATTCAACCTTCCCGTACAGTTTAAATGCTGCTAACAGAGGCCTAAGGCTGATTCAGTTGTCCACATGAAGGTTGTTAGGCTAGTGCTGCCTGGGGTGTCCATGAGTGTTCAAGACATTCATACAGAGCTTGACCGATCAGCACAGATATATGAAAAATAAAAGGACACATCCCTCAAAATGCAGAATGGTCTCCAGTACTACAGTACAAGCTGCTGTAGTAATTTATCATCACCTCAAAAATAGTTTTTCATCTTTTTTTCACAAATGAATGAAAATGCACAGGTATCTAAATGCTATGAAATAGCATCTGAGATGCACAGTACCTACTGGGATTAAACAGAAGAAAAAAAAAAAAAACACCAGCAATCTACTATAATTTGGGCCAAAGAACCCAAATCTGAACTCAGACTAAACATGACACTATGATAATGGTTAAAGAATAATCACTAGAGTGTAAGCATCTAATGGAACTAAATTCATTCATGCAACAAACTAGCCAGACATCAATCTCATGTTTACATAAGCTACCATGTACTTTAAAAACAAAAAGCAATAATGAAGACAGTGTTTAGTAGTACTAGTAGTATAGGCTTCAGGTGTTTTATTTGCTCTTTATGTAGACTTTGGAGCAAAACTCAAATGAGTTTTGAATAGATGCAAATGGGTTGAATGTAATTGATTTTTCACACATTCATATTCATAGAAATTTTAGCTAAACTTTATTTGAATCAGTTTTATTAGAAATGTCTGATGATTTTAAATCTACTTTTGTTTAGCTCTCATATTAATCATAGTATCATAGAATGGCTTGGGTTGGGAGGGACCTTAAAGATCATCCAATTCCAACCCCCCTGCGATGGGCAGGCTTGCCCATGGCCCCATCTACCTCCAGGGATGGAGCATCTCTGAAGTTCAATAGCTGATTGTTCTTTGATTTTTATCAAAGGAATATTTCTTCTCCAGATTTCATTCTGTATTTATGGAAAGAGGAAAGGAAAAATTCTGAAATTGGGCTTGGGATGTTTGCATGTATAATAAGAATTACCATCTGTGGCTTGAGAACATCCAGGAATTTTCTTGCCCTGGAATAATTTATTAGAGCACTGTCTAAATAATCATAAAATCAAAACTCCGTCAAGTTATTTATAATGTTCCTTTTGGAACACAAGATTGTTCACAGACTTTTACATTTCCAGAATTCTTAGCACCCTTCCTACCAGAAAAGTCAGCAACTATTGTGGTCGCAGTTGCTATTTTCCATGCCTATCAAGAAAGATATTTGCTATCCCTGCTGGAAGAAGATTCTCCTCTGAAAGCACAGGATTTTTACCAGCAGTGTGATTATCTAGGATCATCAGGGAGCCTTAAAGTCTTTAAACTGTATGTCAGAGTGTTTCCAGATTTTCTTTCATATTTTTTCTTGATGTAGATATCAAGCAAATGTAACCATGGTAATTTGGAAAGATTCTATTTTAGTCCCTTTTGTCTTTTTGTTTCTTGCCAAACCTTTGACTAAGTTAGGTTATGGTGATTCATATTATTAAATTGTTCCTGTAATATATCCTTGCTTCTTCATAAAAACCTCTTCCACTCCATTTGCAGACAGTACCTAATGGGACATCTGTATTGCGTGTGTATCTTTTGCTTAATGTGGCAGCATTACACTTTGACAATCTTTTATTCAAGTGCATTTATCCCTGTTAGGGAATACCTATGAACTACTTCTTATTAATTTCCAGTGTTGCCTGCAAAACACAATAAATCACTGAAAGTTTATAATTTGAATAAGTCTATTGGTAGCCTATGACCTGTAACCTTCTAATAATTAATGATGCTTATAGAATCATATGATCAGTCATCAGAGACATAAACACAACTTGGGTCTGAAGAAATCAGGAGTGTGAATTTCCTCATCTTGCAGTAAAATTCTTGAACACTTTTACAATAGAGCCAGTATTAGATGAATTACTCCTCTCTCTCTGATGGATAGCCTGGTCCACATTGAGTTTGTCATGGTGTAAGAGCAGGCAGTCATAGACATACTGACAGATAGCTAATGAAAAACAAGCTTGCATTCTCATTTATTTTTGCTCACTTCTTACATACATGTGTCATAAAGGACTTTCAGCTGTCTGGCATGTTGCCAATATTGTTTATTCTCATGATAAAAAAATGTCTTTTTTTTTTATGCTGCATTGCATGATAATTGTAGAGTGGTGACACTATTATTTTAAAGTCTCCTTTCTGTGACATAGAAACTATAAAAGCTAGTAAGATAATTAATTCAGATATTAGATCAAGCCCAAAACTACAACTAAAGAAAGAATGATTGGAGCATATTTTTTCTGTTTTCAACATTGTTTTGTATGAGGAAATATATCTCAGTGGTTACTGAAAATTATTAAAACTGCCATTATTGCCATTTCAGTATTTTCAAATCATCATTATATCAGTGAAACAGAGCTTTTTCTTTTTTTTTTTTTAATCTACTGTCTTCCTGTAACAAAAACAATAATTTCATGCTGAGTATGAAAAAGCCTCCACAGCTAATTTAAAAAAATAAATAAATAAATTGGATCTTGCATAGGCACAGGTAAAATTAATGTTGAAAGTTCTAGTCCAATGTTTTAGACATCTTCATAAAGGGTTTGAACACAGTTGTGGACAAAGGATGGCTTGCTTTTTGTTTGAATGTGTTCTTTTCTTCTGTTGTTTTTATTTAACAGATAGACTTTGACAAGGATCAGACAAATGCCATTGCTTCTGTCATTCTGCCACCAAGTTTACTGAAGAATTTAAGTCAAGATGACTTTGAAGTTATATCAAGGGCTCAATTCACTTTCTTCAACAAAAATGGTCTTTTTCAGGTAAACTTCAGTGTGTTTGAAGTAATTTCAGCTAGTGTAAGGCAAAGGCAGCTGCTAAACATTTCCTATAGGTATCAGATGATGGTAGCAAATGTAGGCATTAGAGACATTTGAATTCAGAGTGACAAAATAGCCATTCACACTGAATTAGTGTGAGCAGTTTAATAGCGGTACATTCCTGTGACATTGACGTAAACATTTTTTTCAGAGTAATCCACAGCAAGCTGGATCCCATCTGATTACAATCAGTCTAAAGTAGTGAGGACCTTGATAGGGAGTATCTTCTAAAGAGGTGCTTTTATACAAGTCACTGATGTTCAGTGGAGCTGGGTTCTTTTATATCAGTTGGGAATTTGGCTTGTAATGCTGCTGTTATTTCTCTTTTCCTTGAAAGAGTTGATTGAAAGTCATGCCCAATGGGCTACTTATATCTATTCTGAAATTCTGGACTGATTACCACTGTCCAGAGAACATTTTTTTCTATACATACTATTCTTTTTATGTGCTCTCATAAGCAGCCTTTATTTTAATGATGTCTGGATCTATTTACAGACAACCTAGTCATGGAATAAGGATAACTATATATTGGTACCTGAAAACAGAAGGGACCCAGATTTATGTTTTTTTCTTCTCCTTTGCGTCCATGCACATATTAATCATAAATATTTCCTGCATGTTTAATGCAAAAAAAAAAAAAAAAAAAAAAGTAGGATTAGGAAGAGTTTTGCAGCTTGGAAAAAAAGCACAATAGCATACCTACTCTAGCAGGAAAAAAAAAGAAAAAAAAAGGGACTTAATTAATAAGGAAATGTTTCATAGTGAACTGCAGGCTATAATTCAGAAGGCTTTAGTTTGTTTTCCCATTACTGTTTTAAGTGACCTTTGACTCTTGTGCATCCGCAGAAATCTGTAGTATTGTATTGTTCCTATATTATCATTTTTATTGGCAGTGTATCCAGATTCTTCAGATAATCAAGGCAAGAAATTACCCATGACCCTCAGTTACCTTCTACAATACACCCTGAAGTATGTTTAACTATTTAAATTAGTATTCATTTTAAGGCCACTTTTTGGAGAAACAGGATAAATATTCTTTAGTAAAGAACCAGGAAAATACGGATATAGGATTGTCATAATTACATAAAATTAAACCAAGTCTAAGTGTTTTCTTTAATGTTGATTTTAAGTGATTCTTAATCATTCGCTGAAAATCTGTCAATGATTTTTGGGCCCAATTTGGCCCAATTCTATGACTAAATGGGGTGGAGGGACTCACAGCCCCACACCCTGGGACAGTGGAAAGGGGGAAAAAGGAAAAAAGTAGGGAGATGGGCCTAAAAACAAAACAGTGGCAACAAGCTAAGGGAGAAAACTAACCTACTAAATAGGATACTAGAATGCGATATAGCGTAATATAATACACGATGTTATGATGTGGAATATGGATAACAAAAAATCATAAAGCCTTGACAAAAACAAAAGAAAAAAATTCCAACAAAACATACGATCAAAATTCCATAAGCTGCTTTATCATGGAAAGGAATGCACGTATCCTAGTGCAGGAGCAGGCATCAGTATCCCAAGCAAAGGAGCACAGTGCCAGTTGAGACCCCCTAAGTTACAAAGGTGCTACTGTCTGGCACATGTGACAATGAACTGATAAGAGACTAGCTGGAGAGTAGGGAAAATACCCTAAAACCAATGAAGTGAACACTTAATTTTAGGCAATTGCAGTACGTAGTGACCTGGAAGTTTAAAGTTTCTGGTTTCCAAAAGGACAACCAGTTGTATAACCATTCAGGCTTTGATGGAGCTTCTTCACAAGAAAATCAAATTTTCAAAGCACTACCATTTTAATAAATTCTCAGGTTCCAAGGAAAACTTCTCTTTTGGAAAATTCTCAACCTGATATTTTTCATTTAAAGATATAGATGGTATTAGTATCTTCAATTTACATTCCCACTAAATATGACTTTACAGTATTCCTTTGAATTTTTTTACTATATGATTATAAGATGGAGGATAGCTAAACAACTATACACAGAAAATAGAATATTATTCAAAAACTTTGCACCTAGCAAAAAAAAAAAAAACATCAACAGCAAGACAAGAAAGTTGGTTCATTCTCCTGTAGGGAAATAAGCTTATCATATCATGGTTTGTTATCTGCTACTTTGTTTGAGTTACAACTTTGGTGGCATTAGACAAAATTATTAAAAGGGGAAAGGGTGCCTTCTAACCTCTTATTGTAATAATGCCTATATATATTTATGACTATGAGGAAAATTTGGAAACTTCCATGAAGAAAATCCATTATTTTATTTTATAAACAGAATGTTATTACATTATGTGATCAAAAGTGCAAAAATGCTGACAGTTTATTTATTCTGGCATGCTTCAAAAATGAAAGTGTACTCTGGCTTTTCTTTTATGTCCTGAGTAAGCGATTATGTTTTTTTCTGAATCTTTTAAAGGATGCAGAAACTCCTGGCAACTTGACCAGTTTTGTGGTGGCATGCAGTATTGGAAACATAACTATTCGAGATCTTCAGGAATATGTGAAGATTACAATTAAACATACAAAAATTCAAGTAAGAAGAGACTGATTATTCAGAACAACAGGAATGCAGAGTATATATAAAAGGGCTACTTCAAAATTAATGCCTCCTATCTTATGATCGTGACCCACAACCTCAGTGGCAGATAAGGCAGTATGGCAGTATAGATTGAACATTTTTTTGCTGTGAGACAGATGGCAACAGACAGGCAGTCTGATGAGATGCCATCTGACATGGAAGTGCATTTCAAGTAAAGGTGTTTCACTGAATTCTTCCATGGGGAAAAAATGGCACCCACTGACATTCATCAACAGTTGCTGAACATCGGTGGAGACAAAACAGTGGATGTGAGCACAGTGAGGCAGTGAGTGAGTGGTGTGTTTCAGCAGTGGTAACAGCAGCACTGGGTCACCTCCACTTGGGCACATTTCTAAAACAAGCATGGCATGCAGGCTCTTGTTCTTTGCTTGCAAAAATTCATAGCTAATGGTGGTGACTATGCTGAAAAATAGCATTTTGCAGCTGAGAATTTGCTCTATCAAGTGGCGGCATTGTTTTCTTAGTGTCTGTTGTAGTTTCTATGGAAATAATTGGGAGGCATTACTTATAGTGTGACCTAGTAGTAAAGACTGAGCATATAGCTTCATTGATTTTAGCAGATTTTATATATAAACTCAAATGTAAATAAAATCTCTATCAAAGCAAGTAAGCAAAAAGTGAAAAATAAATAACCTCTCTCATTCTCACACATTCCTAATCCATCCATGATTTATTTGAAAGACTATTGATTCTGGCACTCAGAGGCAATTTGTGCAAATAACTATTTGTAAAACCCATGTTCATGATCAGTTTATGACAATGTTCTGACCAGGAACATTATTTATTGCACTGGAACTTTAAAATGACACAAATTCTTTGATTAAAGAGAAATTTCTTCATTAATAATTCCCAAAACTATTTTTTTGTTATGCGGTTTCCTGTACAAGAAGAATGGGCAGAACCACATTTTTAAAAGATATAATTAACTCATGGAAATAAAGCCCCAGTGCTACCCTTCGGTACCTACAGTTTCAGTTAAAAATATAAAACCACAGCTGCCAGTAGTTACTGCAAAAGAGACAACAGCATTAGAGAAATGAAGAAAGATGATGTTGAAATTCAGTATGTAGGTAGATTTTTTACACAGTGAGAAGTTGATTCATTATTTTCACATTTCAATTCACTTTACATCTTGGTTTTATAACTATTTCAAGGTTAGGTTCAACAACCTTCACTCAGGTTCAGCAGACTTTTGCATGGTTGTGAGGCCAGTTACACAGAGGATTCACTGAGAAGTCCTGAGGACCTAAATAGTAAAAAAAAAAATTAGACACTGTAAAGACATCATACTCATGGATTACTTTAGTGAGACAAGATAATGGTTGCCTTCTGAGGATGTGGAAAGCTAATACTCCTTTTTGTAATCTGTGCAATTCTGTATTTCTAGCAGAATAAGGTCTAGCAGAATTCTACCTAGAATTGTACTGTCCTTCTAGCAGAAATGTATGTAGAAAAACATTTTCTGAAAATGTATGTATTGATGAGATTTGTATCTGAAGACATATAAAAAGTCTCTTCTGTATTCTGTATTCTTCTGTATTCTTAGGAAGATCCTAAGCCTACCTGTGTCTTCTGGGATATGGCCAAAAATGGTAAGTTTAAAAATACCATCATTTCTTTTATGTGAATAAAAAATCAGTCACTCTCTTTGTTCCTTTTTGCTTCTTTATCACTTTGAAAAATTAGGTGACATCTTTAGACTACACCATTTCTTCTTGTTAGTAAAGTCACTTGTAAAAGCAGATGTTAAATATTCTTATTAAAAGTTTTACTTGTAATCTTGGTTAGCACTTTAAATTTGTAATGTTTCTTTATTTTTCTGTTTCTGACAACTGTTTGTATGTGAAAATCAAATAGTAATGCTAATCAGATAGATACATGTTTCTTAGATATCCCGCTAAAATTCATTGTCCAACATAGCAGATGAAAGCAGGAAAGTCGGTCAGAAGTACTGAGGAGAATGTAGAAGAATAAAAACAGAGAGAGAAAAGAAAGAACTAATTAGTAATCTAAATTTATAAAGCACATCCAAGGAGAAACACAGTTTTGAGTGATTTTGGAACATTGTAGTCTTTTGAAAGATTTTGTCTTGAATTGGAGGTAAAGTTATGGGGTATGACAGATAATTTGCAGAATTCCTAGAGTTGGCAAAACATCCTGAAGAGCTCAGAGAACTTGAACAGTTTCTCAAAATTAGTTCATATTTGAGTCAGAAAAAAAAAAAATGAAAGGAGTTATCAGGAATACAAACATTACTTTTTTAATTTTTTTTTTTTAATAAGATCTTTCTACTTTTATTTTTCAAGAAAATGGAATAAGAAGAGGATAGTTTACTTCATGTTTTCTTTAAGAATATCTGAGATTATCCACTCTGACCTTCTGTATCACACACTACAGAGAGGAAGGGTGGGCCTCTACTTGTGGGCCATAAATGCTTTCATGTGCCTGGGGATATGTGAGTAGGAGGAAGGCAGGTGCAAACATCACATTAGGGTGGTATAAGGGAGTTCTAAAACCATTGTATTGTTGGGTAAAACTAAGGTGTGTCTAAATGCATGATCCTTGTTCATTAACGAAAAAATTCCCTAACTTTACTATAGTCCTTGTTTCTTCTCAGTAGGCCATAACTGGGACACTTGTCTGATGGAATTCTCTTAGAAACTAAGAAATCTAACACTTTCTTCTTTAATGATTGATTGCTTCTAATATTCACTTGTGTTATATGTTTATTATTTATGCATTTCTGCATTTGCTCAAGATGAGATAAAGAATCCAATGAAAAGGTCATAGATGTTTGTTGGGAAGTAAGGTTATTCCTATTCCATTTCTACAGGTGGCAATGGTGGCTGGAACCCTACAGGCTGCAAAGTGCAAGCAGACTCCAATGAAAATGAAACGGTTTGCTTATGCAACCACCTCACACACTTTGGCGTACTCATGGTAGGCAAACTCTTATTGTTCACTAGGTTGTCTTTCCTAGAAACCATAGTGTCATTTTTCTCATCAGTCAAGACAGCTATCTTCATTCATGTTTGTTTTGTGAGTTATTCCTTTTGTACATAATTTTTAATTTTCATACATCATTTTCCTCCTATAAAATTTTCTTTTCATAACAAAATATCTAATGATAATTATCAAGAATAAGGTAACAAAGTGAAGTGGCTAAATAAAAAAATAAAATAAAATTGTCCCCATAAAAGTATTTTGTATTTTGGAAAGTACTGTGCTGCAGAAGACTTTGGGCAAAGACTTCTGAGCAAATAGCATATTATATTATCCAGTTGCAAAGCCAGGACATGGCTGGGTGCAAAAGAAGACCAGAATAAGACACTATAAAATGAAGGAACGGTACTAAATCTTCCACCAGCAAAATGGAAAAAGTAGGAAAATGTTCACAGAAAAAAAGTAGAGAAATAATCTTTTTAGAGGAAAAGGTGAGGTGCTGATTTCAGAACAAAAAGCAGAGCACTGTAATTTTAGGCAAAACGATCAGGGAAAGAAAAGTGTCCTGAAGTCAGAGTAATAGCTAATGAGAGTGAAAAGTCATGACAATGGAACACAGTAATTCCACTTCATCTTGATATTCAAGGAGCTAAATTGCAATACCTTCTGTAGCAAAATTGATAAACTCTTACTTCCTCTTTTAATATATATTTAATCAGCTTTGGAGTTGCTTTGCAGTAGAGACTTTCTCTTGAATCAAATCTGCCCAGCAAGATCTGGTACAAAACATATATACCTCCTATTTTATCAGAATATTAAGCAAAACCTCCAGACTGTGTGGCTGAGATAGGTAAAGCTTAGCATATCAGGAAGAGGGACGAGGGTACCTTCCGCCTCAGGAGCATGATTTCTCTAATATTTGGATGTCTCCAGAAATTTGTCTGTTTGATGTGTTTTTGAAAGAAAAAAAGACACAACATGAAAAGGATGAATTATTTCTACCTCAGCTTAAATTTTTTGAGTTTCTTACCCTCAGTAATAGGCCGAACCTTTTTTTTTTTTTTTTTTTTTGGTCCAAAATCAGTATTCCTTGGCCTGTGATTAAAAACTGCTGAAAACTTGTTGACTTCTTATCACAGCAATGCTCCAAATGAAAATAGATGTGGTTGTTGGTTTTTTTTTTTAGTTGTTGCGGTGACAAATTGGATTCTCTGTGACAGGGAGTTACAGGCACTGACTTTTTCAGTTTGGGCTTTGCATAGCCTTCCTAACAGAGTTGCTCTCTTCACATCATGCTCAGATATCAATGGGAAATAGTCATAAGCTTTTTATCTTTTTGCAAGCTAAATTGTGGTTTTGTTTCACTTTTCATCCTCTGAGGGAAGGGGGGGGGGAAGAAGGGTTTTCTTTAGAATATGCTCAATGAGTTCCTTCTCTACCCTAAATGCTTTAGTGAAATTAGGAAATAAGGGAGAAGTTCTTTGAATTTGGGCTGTGTTCCAACAGATTTTTACACAGTTTTGACCCTTCCAATTGCTTTTCCATTTCAATAATCTTATCTGACTTTAATTTAGATATTAAATAATTTTCAAATAACAATCTCTTTATATATATAAACTGTTACAAGGTTGGGACAGAGTTTGAAAAGCTGCACACTTCACTTTTTTTCTGAAGAACAGCATGTTCTGTAGCCTTCTGTTGGTTCTTTTTGCTAGATGTTCCTATCTTTTTTTGTAGGGAAGACAGTTCCACTGACTGTAGAACAAACGATATTAAATGCTAATATTTGCTCACACTCAGTCCATTGTGATATAGATCCAAACATTCTCATTTTTTCTTTCCCTTAAAAAAGGAAATAACCCTGGCATTTATTCTCAGACAGGACTATGTGGCAATTACAGTTGGACAGAGAACTGGAAAAAAGAAAAAAAAAAATCCCCAGAATGTTCCTACTTCACTTCCAATCTTTTTTTGAAATGCTGTCACTATTTTTCTGAGCAATTCTATATATAACTGTAGTTTGCATGTCAAAGCAGACCATAAATGCAAAGAACAATATCTTGCCCTCGGTTTCACCCATAGACAATTAGTTAAATTGATTCTTATGAGCTTCTAATAACAAGAAATGATGTAAGGAACTCCCCCAGAACATTGTGCATTTCATTATGAACAATTTTTAAATTACTTTTTCAATAGATATTCAACATTCATATCTTCTTAAGGACAGTTGTGCATAAGCAACAGAAGTAAAAAAATATTTTATATGGGAAGATTTTTCCCACAGAAGGACATTGAAATTTCTGGTACTGAATTGTAAGGAGCAGCATCAAGCTCTGTCTATCTGCTGAACTGAGTCGTTATAATTCTCACGGCACAATGTTTTCAAGAGCAGTGGGAAGGAAGCGAGAGGTGTAACAACTATAAACTAAGTATACTCGGTAAACATGAACCCTGACATCAGGGTTATACTGTTATTGCCAAAGTGTTTCTAAGTTTCGCTTGACTAATTACCAAGTAAGAGTGTTGTGCTGCAACTGACGCCTCTTCCTCCTGTCTCCCATAGGACCTTCAGGGAACCACTACAGAAATAGACCCACAGAATACCAAGATCCTCACTTTCATCACTTACATAGGCTGTGGGATATCTGCTATATTTTCAGCTGCAACTCTTCTGACATACATTGCATTTGAGTGAGTACTAGTTCTGTAAAAAAAAAAAAAAAAAACACAAATGAGGTACACCTATGTGATAAATAAAATAAATTAGCTATATGTTTTTCTTATTATTTCTCACATAGGAAAGGAAGTGTTCAAAAAAACAAATTCTGGCACAAATATAGAAGTAGATTTTTTTTTTTTTTTCAAGAAGCTTAAGTTCAAATTCTCTCCTGTTTTAAATGTGTTGTGCTCCTCAGGCAAGGCAACAAGATTCATGGGGCCCAATATATTCTCTCATGAGACGATATTCTCTAGGTTTAAAATAGATTTATATTATGAAATTCTCAGCCAGGCTTACTGTGAGGAAAAAAACAAAAACAAAAACAAAAACAAAAACAACTCCCC